TAGCATTTATTGTAATATGAATTGTGATAGGACTTGATTTATTACAATTTTATTAAGTATTAAAGAACCACACCTAAGTGATATAACAGAATGAAGACAATGAAGTAACAAAATAAAAATTATTAACTTCGTTTATTGTAGTAAATCGAATTGACAATCTTAAAACATAGTATTATTTCGATTCATTGTAATAAATCAACACCAGCTTGGATGTACTATTATAGAAGATAATATTGCTGAAATATCGAAAATCAATATATTTGAAGTACAAACGACATAAACTTATCGCACGCATTAATAGTAAAAACAAAAAGATAACGTCACATTATTATGTATAGTCCACACGTACACAAATTGAACTAGTTAAAACTAAATACCAGACATAGAACACCATGTATTTAGGATAAGTTAAAGACGTATTTTATATATATCAGTTCCCGTAGATCCTATGAGGAACAAAGGGCCACAAGGAGACATGCCTTAGATGAATGCAATAAGGAAATATAATTATCATTTCTTGGTGCTGTTATTGTAATCCAACTAGAAAACTTACTATCTAAATTCCTGTTTGGAGTATTGAATGGCACTTGGTCGTTTGAAAAATAAGTGATTTTAGTATGTATCTCCTGGAACCAACCGCATTCCATTATAAATGTAAAAGTCATAAAGAGTTGACTAAAGTACTTCGACTGGTACCACATATCATTCTTAAACCATCCAGCATATTCTATTTTTAGAGGAACATATTTAATATGTCTATAAATCTAAGTATTGCAAAAATCTTTAGTTTGTCATATACCATATGTTTTATAACAATGGTTTATTCTAAAGTTTTATTTTTTCCATACATATTACATGTAACTGTACTGTATATTGTTATTCACGACTAGGTCCATTCTAATTTACAGTCAGCGTGCTAATCATTACTCAACAATCTCTTATCAGAAAGCACCACATATGTTAAAGTCCATATGCCGAAAATTATGAATACATATTCATATAACACAATAATAAAAAGAATGACCAAGTCTACAATGGTAAATTATTAACATACATTCATATAACACAAGCAAAGAGGATGACTAGAACTTTCTAAGAAAAAGCATCAATGATGATTAATGTTTTTTTTTTATTTTTTTATAAATTATTTATTTTCTCGAACAATTTTACATTGTGCCTGCACCTAAAATAAATATTAGGTACCTGAAATAGTTTAGGCTACTCTAATTCGAATTTTCTAGTTCCCCAAATTAATCTTAGAAGATCAAGCAAATAGAGATACACATCATTCATACTCTGGACATCATTGTTCTTGCAAATACTGGGCAATGTCAGACGAAGTGCTCTGTGTCATTCATATCCTCGAAACAAGATTCACATGTTGGATCTATGTTGTGTTGATACAAATAATGGACATGTGCTTTCCACTTCTCTGATGATTCCAGTACTCCAATACTCTGGGGTATTTCTCTTTAATTGCATGAGAATGTTTATTAGTCCATTGTCAAACTTTTTAACATAACCTTTCGTTACCAAATAGGTTTAAATTTCGGATCTATTTTTTATTGTAGCCAGAGTCAATAAAATCAATCACCGTACAAAAGAATTTTGGCAGAGCTGACGCTGAAAATTGGTTGTAGCCCTGTAGATGTCCTAGCAGAGTCTTTATTACCCAAATTATCAGCCAATTTATTATTTACGACAACACAGTGATCAGAACCCAATATTATATTGGTGTAGTTTGTTACATTTCTTCAGAATTAAAGCTCCAATTAAAGAATAAAAAGGTACATATGGACATTTTCATAAGGTTATTTAGTGAGTAGGTTTAATCATCGATTGAAGCCAACGTCAACAGTGTAGTGAAGAAATGTAAATACGAATGGAAAAAGTATATATATGAAATAACAGACACTGTTCTTACTTGAAAACTGTAGTGAAGTAGGTACCATGGCAACTATAAATCACTTGAAAGATAACTATTTAGACGAAGATTAGTTTAATGAACTGAGACAGAGAGAGAGATTTATATGTATTCTAAGCTCCGAATGGTATGAAATCATAAGAAATTGAATTGAAATTAATAAATCAAAAGAGCGGAGATATTAAACTGATGCATATCATCTGAAACATGAACTTTAAATGAATATTTCTACTGCTTGAAGTACGTCCAATAAATATTTCGAACTCTACAACATTGAAGATATACCGAAGCATGTTTCAAATTTATATATTTACAATACTAACCTTAGGGTTCTCTAATAATAACATCTTAAATAATCCGACACTTATAATTACGACACTTACAAATTCGCGGTCGTAACACAGGCATTCGATTATTTAGTAAGGAATTAGTAAGGAACTATAATTATTATTGAATTCGGACGGCTATGACAAATCCCTTCTTCTTTAAGATATAAAATTAGCTCAATGTAATTATCTAATCAAACGTTAAATTCATTCAGAATAAAAAATTAATATTAAACACAACCAAAATATAATAAATGCCGTAAGCATACCCATTCCTGCAAGAGACAGGCTAATTACTTTCAATTTTTTTTGATATTCCAAAATTATAAATATAAATGTAAAATTTATTTAAAAAAAAAGAAATCAAAGATTTTAATAAACTTTAATTTGCTCAAGTCAATGATAATAAAAACAAATACAATTTTTAATTAATTACCGAGAAAACCTTTAGTGGCCTTAAGGCATTCAGTAAAATACAATGTTATTCTAAACATTCCAGGATAAATTTACGCTGCGTCATCAGACAAACTAATTTGAAAGAATTTTCCTTTAATGTTTTAAGGGTAATATAATGCACTTATTTGTGGAGTACCTTGTTATTTAAGATCTCGACAGATTCATCTTTAAAGACAATAAAAAGCTAATTAACTTTGCACAAACGTTTACATGCTTGCCGCCATATTCTAAATACGTTGGAACGAACATGATATGTAAATTTTAAGATGCAATTCTTTTCCAAGCTTGAGTGGCTCACTAGGGTGTGCGAAGCACGTCTCTTTGAAATGTCAATGATTCAAAGTAGAAAACAACACCGCAGCTTCAATTGTCGTTATAATCTTCTAGTTTATTAATAAATTTCTCCTAGTGCTGAGTTTTGTACAGTACCAGTATACAAATACCAAAATCAAGTGAATATTATTTAAGTAACCGGCAAAATTATTCAAGATTACATTCTAAATTAAACAGGACTTAATAAAAATATATATTGGAGTAAAGCCATCTATTAAACCAATAAAAACGATATTATAGCATTTGGAGTGGCAGTCCTTCAAAATGTCGATACAAGCCTTTTAAGTGAAATCTAAGCACACAAAAAGATTTTCTTTGATTGAAAAATGTATTTTTCCGAAAAAGTAATAGTCACATGCTTCCAAATCAGGTGAATACGAGGAGTTAAATGCTAACTGGATCGATAACAGTACGAAAGTAAAGTGAAATGGAACAATCTGTACATAAATATTCAGCAGCAGAAATGCTTTTAAGATATTCAATCCCAATCCATATTGCAGACGTTTGAGAAAATCTGCGGCATTTACGGATTCCGGCGAAACTAAGAGTGGGACTCATTACAAATATTTTTGAAACGCCCTATTAAATATTGAAGTTTGTGCTCATATACTAATAAAGAAATACTTCTATATGAAAATGTGATCGAATTTAATATGTTTATTAGGAAATGTGATTGCTTTATCTATTGAGAAAATTAAAGCAAACAAGAATTATAATCTATATAATCTATAAAATTAAATACACATATATACACAATTATTATTAGTTGTCACATTTATCTGTTAACACATTTCATAGATTTAATTTCTTTTATGAACTCGATTAATGAAATCGTACTCCGTACTTGAGTTCTATAGTTACTTGTATTGATTTATAATTGAATACCGTATACTTTCCTAGAACTATATTTTATTTTTTAAAATACTTGTTGCGCTTGAACATGAAACAGATCATTTGTGCTGAAAATACTTTTTCGGCTTATAAAAAATGCGAATTTATTGATCATCCTATTTAGTTACCAGTTACGGGGCCTTCATATTTTTTATTTTCCAAAATTTAAAGTTTTACTAATGAATAAAAAATTCTGATCAAAATCAGAGATTAATTTCGCCACAAATGAAGATTCTGAACTTCAAGATGATATGCACTATTCGATGATGATATGTTCAAAAAAGTTGAAGCATCTTTCGGAAATCAAAATATAAAAAAAAATTCTATCGAAAATTAAACAACAAAATCCGAGATATTCTTATGTATCCAACATATCATATAAATATATATACATAGTGTATACTATATAACAGTATTGTATATAAAAACACTTGTCAAAAAGGATGGCAAAAGTTTATAATGGATTTCGGGCAACTGATCTCAAAACAGACTTCTATAACTCGAAGTAATATTTTGCAAAAAAAAAAAATGTCCAACTTATGGAGGCTTCCAATTAAAGAATCGTATGTTATTTAGTCTCTAAATCCTGTTACACTATATCTACTTGAATGGAAAATAATGTAACATCTATCATATTCTCTAGATCTGGCACCTGCTGATTAATTTTTTTTTTCGGTCACTATAAAAATTTTATAAAAGGTAAAACCTTTGCTTCAAATCTGGAGATCTGATTCAGTTTTTTTGCCAACAGAGATGAAAGATGGCAAAAGGTATTGGAAAGGGGATGAACTATATATTAGATATTAGGTTATGCTGGTAGATCAAAAAGGCCACGCGTAGACCATTAAAGTCCATTGCGATACCAGATCAGAGTCTTATTTTTAGCGATTGTGTGCATCAACATATATCAATATATATATATTATGAACAATATGTATATAAGTCGATAAAAAATTCAGAATATACTCTTTCATTTCATTTCATAAAAAAACACTAAAATATTTTCCGCACAACCTTATATTTACAAATATTTTATTAAAAAAATTAATAATAAAACTTTAAAAACTTACTTGTACGATTTTGCGCTGGCATGTAACTCATTTTTTTGGTGATTTAGGCGTTATACACCACACCTGAAAATAACAAAAAAAAAAACATATAAAAAAAATATTATAATAATAATAATGAAAATTGAGCCTTTCTACAATGGCACAAAAGACATAACATAACATATATATAATTATGGAAATAAAGAAAACTATTTTAACAAATAAATTGCCAATATAAAATTACACGTTTACTACGCAGAGAAAATTACAGGGTTTTGATTGGAATTTCAATTACTTCAAAAGGAAATTCTTGCATTTTTAAGGAAAATTGTTAGGTAAGGTAGACGAGCGCACATGTCGTGGCATACGGGGGAGAAGAAGAAAACGCTGTTAAACAGCAGATTTTTATGTTTGGCACATGATACCTTAAATATTTTAAAATGCAGGAATTAGAAAAGGAGACAAAGGAAAATTTATAGGATTAACACAGGCAGCAGCAGCAGGTACTTTACTTTGCCAACACATCTCACATCACATCTCAAAATCAATGTAAACGACCAAAACGACTAAAACGACGACGTCGTTTCCCATTTTATAGTTTTGGAAAACTACAAGACGTAGAAGACGTACAAGACTATAAAATTAGCAACGGAGTTTGTGTAGTTTTTGTAGAGAAAACTGAAGAGCGGAAAATTTAAATTATTTTTTTATTAAAAAAAAAAAGTCATTTTTAGTTTTTAAATACAATGTAAATAAATTATAATCAGTCGTGTATGTATGCATGTATGCGTGTATGGTGGAAATACGGTGTACGGTGTGTGCAGTGGTAAGATGTGTGGTGTTTAAGAGGCGTTGTTATCTAGATTTTTCGAGTAGAGCCAAGGGAATAATAAATAAAAACTAAGAATATATAGGAATGAGGGAAATTTTGTTACTATATAATATTTAAAGTATGAAAATTTAATAAAAAAAAATATGTTTAAAATATATTAATGAAGTCTTTTTTGGTCAAATTTTTTTATTGTTGTTGAAAATAAAAAACCACGATTTACTTTACAATTTATTAATTTTTATTACATCGATATTTCAACAGGAAACTAAAAATATACTAACGAATAAATCGTTTGATATTAATTATTTATTAATGAAATGATTAAATTTTAATAATATTTGTGAAATGATTTTTTCTCATGTATTGTTACATATTATTTGGTTGAAATTATATATGTAGAAAATATATCTATTATCCGATTATTACATATTTTTTTAATTATTAAATATCTCATATAAGACAACACGATTTATTAATTAAAATTCTTTTGTTAATATTATGAATAAAATAATTTGTCAATTTTATATAGAAAATGTTTATATAAATAAATATAAAACCAAAAAATATAGTATTTTATTTTAAAAGTTCACATTAAAAAAAAAAATTATTTGTAGCAATTTTAATCTACCGGTTGAGAAACTTTTATTCCCAAAACATCACTAAAATTAAGGAAATCACTGATTATAATTAAGTCGAAAAAAAACATCAAAAATAAAAAAAATAAAAAAACGCATTGTAATTATTTATTATGGCTAGGCTAGTATAATCAGCATTCATTCACATTGAAATTATACCGACGTATGTATAAATATTTTTATTTAATCAGGAGATATAAAGAGAAAGATGTACGCGTACATCAACAACTAATTTTTAGCAGTGTACAAATAAATACACTTAAACAAACAATTCACAAATTAAACTTCAAACAACAATAAACAAACAATTCATTAGTCATTCGTTAAAAATTTCCGTTTTAGAATGCAGCACATAACTGAAGTATCTACGCTATGCAAAGTAGAAGTGAAGACCCGATGCCATTCTTTGCACTAAATTCATTTTTTTTTATTCCACTTCCGAATTCAAGTATAAAATGCTTTTTTTTTATACACTTTCACAGAATATTAATATATACAAAATAAATATAATACCTTTATATTATATAAGAAAAGAAAGCACTTCTTATTAATTTATAATTTTATATGTATCTTTTTTCCACCAGAAAACTCAACTATATTCTTCACAAGAAATTCTTTTTATTTTCTTAAAAGAAACTTGTACAACTTCTTCAAAACGTTGCCATTACACGACGAAAGCAGAATTATAATAGCCAAGAAAAGATAAAATTTAACCCATCACAGGCAAAAACAACATGCAAACATACAAGAGTTGGGGGAGATAATCCAGTACGTAGGCAAATAAACAAGAGAAAATAAAATGTAGAGATGCCAGATGGTTGTGTATAGCAAGCAATGTCGCAATATTTGTTGTATATTTTTAAGATATTTTTGTATATTATATTTGGTATTAAGTATGTTAGGTGGCGATATTATAGTTGTAAATTATTAAATAAAATAAAAAATAAAAATAAATAAAATAAAATAAATAATAAAAATAAATAAAATAAAATAAATAATAAAAATAAATAAAAAATAAATTAATGCTACAACAAATAAATTAATGCTACAACTAATAAATGAAGGTTAAAACAAATAAATTAATGTTAAAACAAATTTCAATTGTTAAAATAAAAAATACACCAATTTGTTATTTAATTTATTTTTAAAATTAATAAAATTTAATTTATTTTTAAAATTTAATTAATTTTTAAAATTAATAAAATGTAATTTATTTTTAAAATTAATAAAATTTAATCCATTTTTAAAATTAATAAAATTTAATTTATTTTTAATGTTAATAAAATTTAATTTATTTTTAAAATTTATAAAATGTAATTTATTTTTAAAATTAATAAAATTTAATCTATTTTTAAAATTAATAAAATTTAATTTAAACGGGCTTAAGATTGATTATTTAATTAAAATTGTGTACATAATGTACAAGGAAATGAACATAAGGCGTTTTCTTTTGAAAGCATGTCGCCAAAGAACAAATAAAATAAGCACTACTTTCCATGGCAACTCCGGACAAAATGGAAATTTTGTTAGGCTCATATATGCAAAACACATAATAAAATTTAAAGATAAATTTCAAAAATGGATTGTGAATAAAATATGAATTTTTATGCCTTTTAACAGTACAATAATAAATACAAAAAGTAACGTACTTGTTACGAACAATGATAACATGAAATATGAAGAATTAACAAAATCATTCGTTGACAATTAACTGGAAATTTCGTATGTACTTCTAAAAATCGTTCACAATAGACGAATTTTTTATCTTGGCAACCATACGATTTAAGCTGCTTATTAGTTAAGTTATTTCAAAAAGGTTGGACTAAATAAGCCAGCAGTGTTACTGTTTCATATGTTATTTTTAAAATAAGCAGTTTTTCGATTGTGATATGCTGTTTCATATGTTATTTTTAAAATAATCAGTTTTTCTATTGTGATATGGTTGCTAAAGAAAAGGCCTATAATCGACCTTAAGCCCGATTAAATTAAACTTTATTAAAATATAAGTCGAAATAACAATAAATTAATTATTACTAAAATTAATATAATATTACAACATATACATCTATGTATCAGATTCATTAAATAGAGTTATAGCATTGATAGATGAGAATATAAGTAATAATTAAGCACTTAAATTATAGTTTATTTACTAGTTTAAAGGATTTAAATTGCCATTTAAATTGAATCAAATGCCATCTAAATTTATTAAATATTTAAATACACTATTTTATCTCCAATTCCTTAGTCAATTCAATACTGGCAATGTAAGATATGTAAGATAAAATAAAAATTAAAACAAATCATAATTATGTGCAAAAAAGTGTTTTAGATATTAATTTTTTGCATTTCTGAGGTCTGTTAATTTGGTACATATACATAATTCTTAAAAAGTTGATTTTTAGGCTGTCAGAGTATTTTTTAAATATTAAGTTAAATGTGGTTAATTGTATTTGTTGTCGTCTATGTAGGCTATTAAAAGTTTACTTTGTTTACGTTTTACCGTGCTATGTGATAAAAAAACTTGATTTAAATTAAATGTGGTTTATTATTGCAGTCATATTTGTACTAATATTAAATATTTTAAATAAAATAAAAATTAAATTTAAAACTTTAATATAAAAGCATGTAATCAAATTCTATGAATGATTGGAAATAAACTTCTACCAATGATTACTAATTTCTAGCATGAAATCAACTATACTATATCTATGTTTCAAAAATAAAGGTATTTATCCTCTTGTTTTAAATTAAGAACTAAATGAAATTTCTAGTCATAAGAATAAAAAATTTTCATTACAAAAAAATTTTGTTTTAATTTAAAAAATAAACTGAATTAATTTTTATTGAAACTAAAAATTCCAATCATACGGCATCACTTTATGGTAAACGATTTTGTGTGAGACAGTTGATAACCACTATCAAATCTACAAAATATGTATGTTAAAGCGAATAGAGGTTGAAAAGAAAAGTGAAAAACAAATATATACACACTATACACTGCACTAGAAGGCAAAATACCACACCCCCCCAAAATCATTTTATTTTACATAAAAATTTAAGTATTTTAAAAATGAAAAATTTTTAACATTTAACTCTTACCACTTAAGCAAATAATTAATTTTATAATAATACAGTTATTGTATTTTAAAACACACAATTTCTCACAAAAAAATACACTTTTTAATACACAATATAATACCCACGACACTTGTCTAAAATGGCCGAGATACAACTAAAAGTCTCCATAAAAAAAAGGGTTGCTTTTCATTACAAACAAAAATGTATGGAAATTCAATTTAACGTTTTTAAAAAGTGTAATTTAGAATATAACATTTCAAATAATATTTTATTTATTCAATATGCAAAACTATGTAAACCACGAAATATTAACTTTATGAGTAATCACACTCTTAGTGATTTAGATATTATATGAACTGAAGGGATTTAAAATTTTTAAATATTTATATTAATGATTATAATATATTCTAAACCCAATTATGTGATTCAAGTTTGGGAAAAACTGTAAGGAATTACGCATCAGATAAGAAATGAAAATTATGAGTAAAAACATTAATCAATCACCTACTCAATTATTAAAAAAATGTCATTGTCATATTCAAAGATTAATTCTTTGTGTAAGTTTTTAAAACCTGCGCAGTGTAAGTACCATATCAATTCAATAATGTATTATTAAGTAATCTTAAAACAATACTTAAACAAACAAAAAGATTTTCTATGCTTCATCAGTGGTACAAAGTTATTGGCTGATCCCCGCAAATACAGTAGAAAAAATGATAAATACACATATACAAATATTATTCATTTTAGTTGTATATATTTGCGATTTTTTTTATAAGAATCTATTATATATAAAATCAATAATACAAATATACTCCAATTCAATTAAGAAAATTAGAATTCGATTATAGTTATATACTGAAATATTTACAAACTAAATACGTATTTTAATATATAAATAAGTATGCAGGTAATGTATATAAAAATTCTCCATTGAACCAATCCAAAATATTTTTCTAAATAGTAGAACCAGAGATAAATAAATCTGTATTAGTTAAATATGACTTATGTATCTCTAATAGATTTATCCAGATGCGACAACATCGATTTTATTAGTTTGTGAGACATTTCGTTGTGATGTGCTTTCTTTTTGGGGTTGCAGGAAACTAACGAAAATGTTTTTATAACGCTCGAGACTACCATACAAATCTGTAAATTGTGTGAAACCAAAATATGCAGCTACACCTATAGTAACAAAGAATACTGCTACCATTGATAAGAGTCCAAAACAAATAAATAGTAACATCGATATGAAAGTAAGCAATGTGCCTAAAACATAATTATTTTAAAATACAAAAAAATAATTAATTTAATTATTGTATTTTTACTACCTTCTAATAATAAAAATCCCACGAATGTTATAATGGCAAACATTAAACCGAAGCCCAGCACAACTAAAACTGGACCAACAGTAACTAAACCGCCAGCGAATAATATTAATGCTAAATGCGGATTATTTGCGCACCATTTTATTGCTTTATCTATAGTCTGATATCCACCCAACTCGTTCAATGCATATGTACTTAGACGTCTTATATTGGACCCTAGAAATAATATAAAAAGAAATGAACTTCAATATTTAAATGCTTTTATTTTTTTATACTCTACATAATGTTTTTAAAGCATCCATAAGTATTTGAAATAGATCATCCGGGTCATCATTGTCAAAAAAACTTTGGCCTTTATGAGTTTTGCTATTTTCTGGTTTGGAATTAATCTCCATTTGATCTTTTTTTAAATAAATATACTATGTAATATATTATTTCACAACGGTATTCGGAATAAAACTTCTCTTTTACAAATATAAACAAGAAATCAATTGTTCTCAAAAAAAAATTGTTGATGCAGTGTGTTGCAGCTAATTCTGTTAGTATGAAAATAATAGAAAATGAACAGAGTTGTATTTAAATTGCACTAAATTTAATTATGTATGTTTAATTTAGAAAATAAAATATACATGAAAATTAATATAATGGAACCATTAAAATTTGAAAAAGTTATAAGATTTTACCGTCTAGTGACCAATTTGAATGGTTTTATTTATTCTGACAGTTGGGCCGACAAATTTGGTTATCATCTATTTTCGACTAATGAACTGCGAGGTTTTACAACTTGATCGCATATGTACCAGTTTAATAAACCAACTGAATATAAATTAGATATAATTTCTTGTATTGTGTGCCCAGTGAATTGGTAGCAAACCTAGATACTTCATCAGCTTTTATCATTCTAGTGAACACTCTGATGGATAACAAAAAAAAAAAAAAAATTAAATAAAATAAAATGCCAAAATATAATAAAAAAAATCAAAAAAGTAATTTAATTCCGATTCTCGGTATCTGTCGTTTCAATATTGGGATACATCTTACATTTAGCCATTTAATTCACATTCATACGTCAATCATATGTCGGCGTGTTAGGTGTTTTGGTATTTATATTGATGGTATCAGTAGTAGTACTGTTACAATCTCTAGGTGGCGATGCTGAAAATCAAGTTTTAAGTAAAAGTGTCTAAAAAAAGTTAAAATAGATGGTTAAACTTAAGCTTATGTCAATAATCTAATGACCATGTAAAGTTGATCGCAAATATTTCAGCTTCCGTTTTAATAAGATTATTCTTTATAAATCGATAATGATGTGAACGACTTTCGCCAAATACACGTCTTATGAATAAATTTATGCAGAGTTAAATGTTACTCTGATGTCGTCACTCTCAGATCGTTGGGCTGAAAACTTACACTTCTCTTGACTCCACTGTAATGTGTAACGAAGAGAATTCAGGTGGACTTGAAAAGTAACCAGATATAGGAATAACAAAGAGTTTTACAATACGAATGGATGGCAAAAGTAAAAAAATAAAAAAAGTAAAAAACTGTTAGATCTGCATAAACTAACAAGTAGGATTACCAAATACAGATTTCTTCTTTACTAGCAGAAAGAGTAAATGTTGACTTTAAACTCCAAAATCCTTACTTATTTTAATACTGATCCCGGAATTCGGAATTTTGGAATTTCAAAACTCCAGTCTCTTGTCTCGGAATACAATATATTCATTACATTCACAGAAACAGTGAACGGAACTCAAGCGTATTTCGTACAAGTACCGCTTTTAGCAAGTATTCTAATGAATTGTGCTCTGAACAGATGTGAACGTGATTATCTTCTTTTTGTTTAAATTATTTCACTGAACAGCATAGAATAAATAACTGTATTAATGAATGTACTTGAATAATTAAATTTATTCATGATAATCTTTCTGGAAATCAAAAATTGATAGGGGCTGCTCCTATTTTTGTCAGTAAAGAAGAAAGAATTATTAAATAATTTTTTTCTAAAGATTCGTTAATTATGTCATTTCTAAAAATTAAAATAATTGACAATAATAAAATAATCTATTTAAATAATCGATTTAAATACTTGAATTAAAAATATAAGATATATATAAATATAAGTATATAAGAAAGTATTATCTGGTATTTATTTATTTGAAATATATAGAGTAATTATTAAATTTGGCATCATATTTAATTTATCATACATTAAAACTAAATATTAAATTATTCCAAGTTTGCTTAGAAGAATATGTTTGCTTGGCTACATTCAGCCAACTTTGTGTTGGCAACCCACAAAAAAGCTTATCAAGTCTGATGTCAGGCACTAATTAACAATCGTTTTTGATAATCAAACTCAAGCAAAGGAAACAGTTGCTACAGCAAGAAGCACAGCGGTCTTTTCCCACAATTAGTAAAAATTAATAAGGTGAGTCTTTTTAGTAGATTAAAAAAAAATAGATTAAAGTACCATAACAGTTTGTTGCTATAAATAATTTATAAGCTCTGAAGGGAGTGGTGCATTCATTTATTTTTTATTGTATACACACGAATTCCAAGTATAGAATTTTTTTCTTATTTTTAGTGATAAACATGGCCAGTCAAGAGGTAAGTGCAGTTCAAATTCTTATCAATAATAAAAATATATTTGGTTATAAATGTATATTGTATATTTTTACTGCATGACTAACATGTATTTCTCTTTGCACTTTGAACTTTTACACGTGTTAATTCTTAAATATAACGTGTTTTTATGTAGGATTTCAACAAAGCCGCTGAAGATGTCAAAAACTTGAACTCTACTCCTAGCGACAACGATTTATTGGAATTATACAGCTTATACAAGCAAGCAACAGTCGGTGACTGCAATACTGGTACATTAAAATAAGATTTCAATATTTTTATTTTTATTGAAACAAAAAAAAACATTTTACAGATAAGCCGGGTTTCTTGGATTTCAAGAATAAAGCCAAATGGGAGGCCTGGAATAACCGTAAGGGTATGACAAACAATGATGCAATGTCTAAGTATGTTGAGAAAGTGAATTTGCTTGTCCAATCCCATGGACTAAAGGCTTAAAGTCTTTAAAAAAAAATACCTAAACTGCAATACGAATGATTTTTGTATAAGTTGGTAAATCTTATTGGAACAAATGGATTAGATATTTTTATTATATATTTATTAACGCACATTTTATAGCACATTTAGTTATATATAAATGCTAAAAGCTTCAATTATATACTCTGCAATATTTAACATAAATGAAAATGCATTTTTTTGTCATACGATTTATATACAAAACTTATTAAATTATAAAATGAATTTGTAAAGACATTTTGTATTGTTGCACAATAAAATAGTAATGCACTTTAATGCTTGTAGGTAAAGAATTATTTTTGTTATAATATAAAAAGCTTAAAACCTTTATTTATTCTGTACTTGAGTTTACTAAAGACGAGTTCATTTGGGTGGATGCTCTTTGTCGTTGATAAAATTCACCTTGCAATTCGCGTAAGTTGGTTTCTAATGTTTCCACAACTTCGAAATTCATATCCTTTTTAGCTTGTTTTATATAACCCTTAATTATGTTGATTTGTTCAACCAATGGATCATCGTTTTGACTAATTCCAGATGTATTAATCTGATGCGCTGTCCAGTTATCCAAAGAACGTAAATCAGACTGCAAAATGAAATATTTTTTTATGAATTCAATACAAAAACACTTCGCAAAATTAACTTACACCATAGGCATAATCATCTTTACCAGCGCGTTCAAAGTTATCCGTAGTATTATTAAGACCATGACGTTCATAAGCTTCCATTGCAATTCGTCGTTCCATTTCTATGCGCTGTTCTGCTTGCATTCGTTTTTGCTCCTGTATTTGACGCACCTTTTCCTCACTGGGCAACGGTGGTAATGCAAGCATTTTCTCTTTTATCAACTGTACACAGGATAATCGAATACCTTTCTTCAATGCTTCTTCTCTGCTGCCTTCTTGGCATGGTAGTGTCATAATATGTTTGCTAAGCACATCTATTGACTCAGCAATTTGCCCAATTTTTCCACGTAATGCACTTGCAGCGCCCAAAGTGTAAATCGATTCACCTTCATAAAGACTAGCAACCATTTTCAAATACATATCGATATCAGGCGTCACATCTTTTCTAAACTCTTGTATTTGTAAATAATATTTTGTCATTGGTGGTATACAATTGCGGCTTTCATTCATTTCTTTACGCGTTTCTAATAACCAAATGCAGTGACTGCAAATACGTATACCGTTCTGCTGCAGACTAGTTATTTTCTCTAAATTATCTATTTTAATTGGTTCACTTTGCTTAATGGTGAGGCTTGCCAATTCAACTACAAATATCAAGAAAAAAAAATTATTTTTTTCAATTATAAACAAATCAAAGAAAAAAGTTTTAGTTTACTTTACCTGCATCACTTATAGGCAAAAATCTGGAGCAGTCATTGCACATAATGCTACCACATAAACGACAATGGTGTTGACGTCTCGCAATATGAAAACTCTTTGCACAATTGGGACACAGTTTTACCAAACTACCATCCAACCAAATTACTGTCTAAAGTTTAAAATTAAAATAAGAATCCTATTTGAGGTCTTATAACGATTCTTACCTGTTGTTCGTGCGTTTTTCTCAATAAAGGATCCTGTGGCATATCTTTTAATAATTTATGTAGTCGTATTATTAATTTATTGGTTTCACTGGCATAACGTTCTATTCGTGGATTGCGTATAACTTGAAAATATTCTAAGTGATCGCGCTGGGTACCTATCTCTTGTCTATCCATAAAATTATATACATTCATGCGAGTATGTGCATTACTTGCAGAAGGAGCAGTGATAATCCCATTATTTTGTGAACCACTTCCTCCACTAATACTTGCATTTTTCTCCAAATTCCGTGACAAATCAAAGGAATCATCAAAATTTTGTCGTATTTTCTTTTTCGCCTTGCTAAATATATCTTTAAAAATAGATTTCAGTGCATCCTGTTCTTCTGCGTGATAACGTTCAAAATGTTCTAACAATACTTCAGATGATTTTAAGTCTGCACGACATATTGGACAAAGAAACCCTTCTAGAATTTCAACTTCATCTGGTTCATCAAATGGATTGGACATCCTGTTTTAACTGTGCAACCGTTAACTTAATACTTAATTGGTATAAATAAATAGGGGAGTACTAGAGAAAAATTGCACTAAAATTCACAACAAGAAACATATGCTTTAATATAAGTGCTGCCAGCTTTACGAAGTGCACTTAGCAAACAGCGTTGCATTTGTGTTAAATATGTCTTATATCATTATCGGAAATACTATTTATTTAATTAGTAATTTATTTGTATTGACATCATAATTTTGTTATCTATATTTTTTTGGATCAAATTTATTTATCAGTAATTCATATTTCGGAAATATCTACTAATCAATCGTAAAAGTAATTCGATTATCAAAACTTTACAATCAAGTTTGATTAAGATAAGATTAAAATTTTTAAATTTTACATTTTAAATTATAATTGAAATAAAAGAAAAAATAAAAATTTGTTGCCGTCAGCGATTATTGTTAGGGTTACGTTTATTTATTAAAAAAAAATGCGTTGCGTGTGATACGATTAAACAGTATTGCATGTGGAATTAATTGTTAAAAACATTAATCGTTTTAACACAAAATAATAATACTAAATTCAAATTATCTTTCTTTACATATTTTTAAATTTATCTCGATAAGGATTTACTCAAATTTGCCATATAAAATTCACACAAAATAAGATTATACTTACGAGTATATGTAAGGTCCGTCCCTTTAGTGAATTCTATTACAAAATAATGCAAACTGACAATCATGCGTAAAGGTTTAGACGAATATATAAAAAATATGGTAGCGAAAGAAACCAAATTTGAAGCTTCAAATTCAGATTCAGTGTTCAAACCTCTCTATGGAAAATAAAAGTTTATATTAAGGATTTATATTGATTATTTCGTCAAAATTGACATTGAAAATCAATTAATGAGAAATAATGACAAAATACGTCTAATATTGAAATCATTTTTTATTTATTTACATTTTTGTAACAAAAATAAAAAGCTTTTTTATTTTTCTTTCGTTTTGTTATTTACCAAACACAAAAATAATTTAACTTAAATCCTTTAAGGCAGAAATTGTGTATAAATGAAAACGTTATATAAGTCCTTTAGTATTTATATATTTTTAAAAAGTTTTTTATGAAAAAACTATTTTTTTTAAAGTGTCAGTTACAAAGTTTTCTGCATTTAAAAATTAGCTTCAGGCAAATTATTATGACTTGGTTGCACTTCATCAATATTAAGCTGTCAAAATGCAGTTATTGTGAATGGTTATTTTTTCGTCATTGACTTTCTTTTTTCTACATCCTAAATGTTTTGTTAAAATTAATAAAAGTTTATCAATAAAAGCTCTAATTCTTTCAAACACAGTTCTATTGTTCTATTTTACATTTTTGACGAATTATTAACTTATAATATTTATGTAAAATATGTAGATTGCATGAAAACAACAGCTCTGCCAAAAGATAGCAAAACAAGTGCGAATTAATTTCAAGAGAGGGGTACCCCATCAAGCAATTAATAAAAAGAGAAAAAGCAAAAAAAAAAAGAAAGATTTGTAAATATTATAAATAACTGCATTAAGCAGTAATAGCATTGCTAAGCGTATCAATAAACAACGAAATTAAAACAAAAAATGCAATGCACCAGCAAATGCGCAGCGATGCGTTAAGTATTTTGATTAGTGGAATTTATACTGCATTGAATTATTGTTATGTGTAGTCCACCTGTTACATATATATATATATATATATATATATATTAACAGTTAAATGCAATCTGTATTTTTAACGAAAATGTTAGCAACAATATGCAATAAAATTCTTTGGTAATTATACATTAACAGTCATAGAATATTATCTACGTAATGGTATTAAGTTCCGAATTTCTTTTATCATTTTAGATATGATTACTAACTTATGACTAAACAACAGAGCTATGCAAATGTTAGACTAAGTTTAAATAATACTGCTGAAAGTTGACAGAACAAAATTTCTAAAATGAGTTGGTTACGCTCAAGTCCGCTGCGACAAAGCTTAACGCGCAACAACAATGGCGCATACCCGACACTTTTTGCGCCTGCAAATAACAATACAACAAATTCTTCAACCATATTAAGACATCGACCTATAGATACAGCAGATTGTGATCCGCGTGCATGCTATGATAGCTTCTGTAAACATTGGCAGCAAGCCTATGATATAATACAGAGATCAGATCCACCGCATAAGTTACCCACACACGACGATGTCTTAGGTGTAGTTTCACATCTAGATTTTATGGTTACATTGTTACTAGTAGAATTGCATCATTGCAATAAAATAAGTTTACCGAGTGCAGATGCCACACCACCAGCGCCTTGTTTAGAATTTATGTTAAGTGAGAATTTATTAGATAAGCTTTATGAATGGGGTTGCACCACTGGACGCTATGCGAATGCAGTACGTTTGGAGCAGCTAAAATTATATGAATTGCTAGTAAGTCATTCGCGACATCAGCTTTTGTGTCACGAGCCATTTCTGCGTCCTTTGTTGAAAATTTTGGCATCCAGCCAAGGTGAAATATTTCCACCAGATTTGGAAAAACGTTTAGTTATATTACTAAATCAATTATGTGTACTTTTAATGCAAAATGTGCACTTATTGGATTTGTTCTTCTTCTCGGCAGCACAGGAACAGCATAAAAAAACTGATACACCACATAGTAGTTCAACCAAGTACGTGCATATTTATAATTTGACAATAACAATAATTTTATTTAATTTTATAACTTTATTCTAGTTTTATAATCTTTTCTTTGCTGATACCATACGTACATCGTGAAGGCAGTTTAGGTCATCAGGCGAGAGATGCATTATTGCTTTGTATGGCTTTATCACAAAAGAATTCTAATGTCGGCACGTATATAGCACAATACTCTTCGATGTGCCCACTACTAGTAACTGGTTTAGGTGGATTATATTCCCGCTTACCTAATTCAATAGAGATAACATCTATTGACTGGCATCGTATAACTCCAGACGATGTTACAGAAATACCCGAGTTGACTTTATTTATGAATGCTTTAGAATTTTGTAATGCGGTTGTGCAGGTTGCACACGAAATGATCAAAAATCAATTGCTGGATTTTATGTATCAAGGTTTTATCGTACCAGTACTGGGTCCTGCTATTCTACAGGTAAGTGCTATGAGTTTTTCGCAATTGTAAATTGTCTTCGATTCATCTGTGGTGTTGGTTCAACAAGTGCTTTTATTTTTTTAATGTTATATGTTTGTAACTAGTAAGTTTTTTTTTCTTTTTTCTTTTTTAAACTTTAACAGTCTATGTTATGTTTTTAATCGAAACAGTAAAGAACAATCAATTTTTATAAAATCATTTGCAATGTTAAATTCTACATTTGTCATATTTGTTTTCAATTGTTTATAGCAATCATATAGTTACGAAGTCTTTGTACAATCCTAAATTTATGTTATATTTCTTTATTAAAAATTTAATTAAAAGTTTTTTTGGCCATGATAAAGAATCTATTTAAAGAAAAATAGAGAAATAGTTTGTAAGTTTAGCTAAAAATATTAATTTCTTTTTGTAAACAAAACAACTTTTTTGGACTGACCATATTTGTCAGTATTCAAAAATATCTCAAAAAATGTTGCTAATAAAATGAAATTAATTTTTATATTTGAATTTGATAACTATTTACCCTTTTTTTTAACCACAACCATTCCACCTTATTGTTCAATTACATTTATAAACTTAGTTATGATATATGTACAATTAAAAGGTAATAGGGTTTGTACAACGCTTCCAATGTGGCGGAGTACTGTGCTTATTGTTAATGTTGTGATCGTACTTTTTTTGGAAACCCTGAAAGCTTAAATGTGTTTCCAGTTTCTTTTGTTAGAGCCAGCTAAATTTGGTCGCCTCTTAAGATGAGAGCTGTAGGACATAGACCCGGCTGTGTCCATAGCAGTTTTCTTGTGTTTCATTTAGAGTTAACTGTTCTTTATCATTTATTTATAATATGTAATGGTTTATGAGGACAGTTAGTAGATATATAATAAATTAGAATAAACTTTTAACTTTTAAAGTCTTTTATTCCATTTATATGATTCGAAGTTGTTATGACTTCTTCTTCAGGCCGGATTGTTTTAATAGCATATTAATTATTAATTTTTTGACATAGTTTTTAAAGGACTGGTATCGAAAAGTTTTATTGGACATATTAACTATTATTGTCTATTTAAGATGACTAATTTTCCATTAAAAAATATATATTTCCTAATTAAATTTTTTTTTAAATCAAACATGACGAACAAACTACTTTAAATTAATAAGGAAATCAATATTAATTACTTCATTAGTTATTAATATTTATTAATTAAATGTATTAATTAATGACAAATATGACGAAGAAAATATTTTTAAATAAAAATATATCAATGTGGAAAAAGCTTCTTTTAAATTAAAAATGATTAAAGTAAATAGTATTTTTGAATTAAAAATTTATTTAAAATAAAATATGACGAAGAAATTATTTTTTAAAGAAAAATGGTAAACAGAAGTGCTTTAAAAATATTTTATATTTATTAAATTAATAGTTTTTTCAATCGTTTAGTATAAAAATATATAAGCTTTATATAATATATGTATATTAAGTGTTTGCAAAGTTTTTGTGCTTTTAAAAATATTATTTTATTTATAAATAATTGAAAAGTTCTCTTAAAAAAGACTTACTATTTTTGCTTACAATTACTATTAATTTACTTTAATTAACCACACCAAGAAAAATCGAAACAATTTTTAAAATCTTACAGACATTGAACAGCAAACATTTCCAGACAAATATCGATTCTCAAATTTCGGCAATGTCATATTTGGATTTGATATTACGCTCTATAACGGAACCCGGTCTATTACGTGCATTCATTAAATTCCTATTAGACACGGAGAAATTTGATGGTGAACGTATACTTGATACCTTAGTTGAACGCCTTAGCTCCACAGATGCCAACTTATGTATGGTCACAATGGCACTATTCGATACTCTGCTAGGTTTACATTGTGAGGATCTTATGCTAGAGCTATTACTGAAATATATGTTACCTGGCAAACATGTGCCAATATCGTATCGTCATAAAATAAATATGATCGATCCGTATACGAATAGTGCACAATTTTTTCTGGATCTTACGCCAGATGTTATGAAACGTGTTCGTGACCTAACTAAGCACAAATCTCTTGGTGATACAGTGACCAATAACGCATATTTACAATCAAATCCATCACTGCCTTCGCCCACATCGACAATGAGTAAAACCATTGGTGCCAATTGGAATTATTATGGTGTACATACTGGTGATAGTTTGTATTCCAATATTCATGCGTATCTATTTGATGCACATCAGCGTATAGCACAATGCAAAAATGCTTGTAGCAATTGGACGAATAAGTACAAGTACCAGAAATGGCAAACAAAAGCCATACGAAATAATTTGCAATCCTTGGAAATAGTGAAACAGTTTCTTAGTGAATTCACAGGCGGCACAATGCTAACCACAGCTATTATTAGTAACGAACAGACAAATATACTGGATGGTAATGATAAAAAGCAATTGGATAGTCTGCAATCGATAGGTGAGTCAAGTGGTTATGAATCGTTTAAATGGAGACCAACAGATGAAGATGGAGAAGCAACTGAAGCGATGGCAGCACAAAATTCTACAGCAACTACAGATGAAATGGAACAAAATTGCAATGTGAACGGCAATAAACATGTGAAAAGAGAAGGCTGGCGTGTATCGAGTAATCGCAATGATATATTACCAACAGATTTAGATTTATCAGAGGATTTATTTGCACAAGGGACAGTTAGTTTAGGTATTTTATTAAATTTATAATTATAAATATTTATTTTTATTTAGTTCCTTGCCAATTTATATACAAATATGGAAAAATATAAGTATTACTGATAATAATGTTATATGCATTGGCGCTTCTAGTCGGGAGCATACGGCGCTATACATTAATAAATATATTATATAAAATTTTTATTCTAATTGTTAATATTACGCTTTACAATCATTAGGTCCTTTTCTGAATGCCGTCTGGGGAAAATTACAGACTTTCACTAGTAATACGCTTTATGTAAATCTACATCTGACTGGGCTAATATCACGGCTAGCTTGGTACCCGCTACCGCTTATACACTCAATACTTTTGCGACCAGATATTGTTATAACATCGGATACACCTTCATTTCATCAAGTACTACGCATACTCAAACAACAAATAGATGCAGAACTACCTGTAATAGAAGATTCACTAGAAATTATCGATGTAGCACGTTCACATCTTATAGATCGAGAATTTCGTTTGATAAATGCACGTAAAGCGGGTGAAAACTCTCCGATGCATAGCGCTATAAGCAAAGCAAATACCCAACAGCAGACAGTTTATGCAAATATATCTTCTTCGTCTCCAGTACAAGTAACACCGTCCTCATCCTATGATCCTTTTAGGCGGAACGATACAAAACGAAAGAGCATTAGCAAATCAATAACTAGCATGTTTAGTCGTAAAACGAATGGTAAGTCCAACATGTTCCAATCCTTTCTCATTGTCTTTAATGGCAGGAATTCTTGAGAAAAGTACTAAGTAACTTAAATTTTAAAATAAAAACTTAAAATTATTTATTGATTTTTTCTAATAAGTAAACACGATAAAATTAAATGAAAAGCACACGCTTCAATGTTATTTGGAGAAAGGATTTACAATTTGGTTTTGGTACTTATCAAAGAGTGAATTCTTTTTTACACATTTAAAAAAAATTAATCTTTATTAGTTATTAATAAATAATTATATTTCAGTTAATTCTATTAATATAAGAGTATTATACTAGTATATTAAATTGCTTTAGTGGAAAAAAATTTACACATCACAAAATTTAACAGAAAATTGTATTCCGAAATATAAAAATTAAAATTTTTATTTTTCGTTTTCTTTACTTCTGAATACTAGCTTCATCCGGCTTATCACAAATTTACGCATTCTTCACCGGTAAATATTTCACCTAAAAGTATAAATTGTAGAGAATTGTTAATGTACAAGTAAAAATTAAAAAAAAAAATTAAGTTCCTTGCTTGTTAATTTTTGTTTTTACCTTTGTAGTTAGTACATTTAAATCGGGGCTTCGAACTATAACTGAACCGAAACTAAAAAAAACCGATACATATGTCGGAACCGTTAAAAAAGAAAACCGAAATTGAAAAAAGCGAAAACCGAAAACCAACAAACTATATATAGATATATATATATATATATATAATATATATATATATATATATATATATATATATATATATATATAGAAAAATATAGATATATTACAGTTTATTTAGGATCACCACCGTATCGTTTGGTACAGGCCATTTCGTTAGGAAAGGGCACCGAGCAACAACAAATTATATATGTACTAGAAAATGTACTAGAAAAATAGCTAATTGGTATATTTGGTTGTTGGTCCTTTGTTCTTCCCTACTGAAATGTACTATACTGGATTATATCCGTAACATATAGTATGTAAAAATAAAAATTTCAAAAATATATTTAATTCATAAAAGTTTCAGTTTATTTTTTATAGATTAAATTCTATTCTTTTTAAAAATAATACATAAAATTATTAGAAAAAAAAAACATTAACTTTAAAAATTAATGCGAAAAATATTAATTTGCAGATTTCTAAATTAATTAAATGAATTAATTAGTTAATTTAATAGAAATTAATTTTTATTTCTACGAATACGTAAACATAAATGATATTCACTTAAAACCGAACCGATAACCGATAACGATATTTTGATGAAGTGAAATGCAAAACCGAACCGATATATTTTTAAAATTGAACCGGACTCAAAATCGGAACCTAAAATATCCTGTTCGAAGCACTGATTTAAATTGTTAATTTGTATATAGTTGAACATTTTACTTAATAACTTTATTAACCCATTAATTAATTAAAATACTAATATTGTCCTGTTGAAATATACTAAACATAATTTACTTAACCATTTAGTAATTTTGCTATATTATTGTATAATTAACTGTGTATTTTTTTTATGTTTTACTAACATTTTATAAAAATACTTAATAGTTAGAATTAGTAAATTAATCAAAAATTAATGAATTATTTAAAATATATTTAACCACATATTATTTAATTTTGTTTTAAATTATAAGCTAATGTACAATTGCATGGCTTTCATATTAAAATTTTAGAGTAGCTTTACTTTTCTTTTTGTTTAATTACTACAAAGTATTTACTGTGGTTATTAAATGGAGTGCTACTCACTAGCACTCTCACTCTATTTAGTATTGGGCGACAGCTTTCCTTAATTAATATACAACTCTGTGTTATTGGGTGGAAAGATTTTTTAATTTCTCCTAACTTTCTCCATCCTATCCTATTTGTTAAGTCTGCAGTATCTTCGAATCAGTTGCGATATATTTTGTACAACTATGATATATTTAACATGGGTTCCTATTCAAGAGCGACCTGTCAATATACTCTCATAACTGTCATTATATTTCTTACAACTTTTACTTTCATATTTTTTACAACTCTTTACCATGAATTACTCTACAAGAAAGACCTGTTAACATACCCGACAGATACAATTACCGTATATTCTTCAAACCTATATTTTTAATATGGATTCTTATTCAAGAGAGAACTGTCAGCATATCCTCTATGGAACTAAAAGGACATTTCAATAAGATCTATAGTCCTACAAATCAAATCGTATGTTATCTCCTACAACATTAATGCTACCATAACTACCCTTCGGAATACGAGTTAGCACATTTTCCAGATTAGCCATGTTTGTTGTAGGAGGCGACTAAAAATCAGTAACCGCTACCCAATAACTTGCGGTACCCGCACGAAGATAGTACCATGGGTGTAAGAGCCCGCAACTACAGCTGTCCTGCCGAATATAGGTTGTCCTCTGTAGTTTAAATCCAAAGATATACGGGTAGAATGACTGTATTCATTTACTTTCATTCGATGTAGAGTTGCATTTTCCAAACGGGTGCTGTGATCTAAGAAACAGCAGAGATAGGTGTCGCTTCTTCCCAAGAAGGAAACTATATCCAAACGTATAGCTTCATGTGATAATAGAAAATTAAAATTATTTCATCTTCTAGATGTGGACGTTTGATTATGAGATATGGCTTCAAAATTGCTTGATTCAAACTCTTCCTTAAGCAAGTTAAAAACTTTAGAATAGATTTAAAATAGATTTTTTAGGCATGTACAAATAAAATAAAATGTAATTAAGACTAACGGAGTTTATTGATATAGCAGCTATTTCTTTATAGTAATTTTTGAAAGTTAGAAAAGTAGCATCTATCTACATTATCTTATAATTTCAAGTACTGGCTATCAACATAATTTTCTTAGAAAAAAATTTAAAATAATTATTAAAAAATAATATTTTTTAACTACATTCTTATTTAATAATTTACGTGTTTTTTTTTGTAATCTCCAAAATTTAACTGCTGTAATATTGCTTTTTTCCAAGATTAATATTTAATATCCTACAATAAATTTTAATCCTAAGAAAAATACTTTGAAATTATAATATTAATGAATTTTCTAAAAATATTTTTCAGGATCAACGAATTCTCCATTTTCCAGTGGAGGTGGTTCTTCTACGACAGGTCCACAGCAGACAAATTCGACAACGACTACAACAAATTCCCTAACTCGCGAGACTAGTTTAACAACGTTGCCTAACGTTGAACGTGCCACTACCAGTGGAACAGCACAATCTAACTACCAAATGCAAAACAGTGGACAAATAACTGCACAACACTTGTCAACAGCATCACTATCAACGGCTAGTGCTGGTTCAACATCAACGATAACAAGTGTTGGCACATTATTAGGTGGTGGCAATAATAGTATTGGTGGAGGAACCAATTCGGAGCCAGTATCTTTAGACTCAATTTCATCAATGGGAGCTATTGCGAATACAAGTGGCACCGAACGCACAAGAGATTTGGCACTATGCGCTGTGCTACTCGATGAATGGCTTAAAGAACTGGCAGCCATTGCTCAGGAACAAAGCGTTGTGCTTGTCAATGAGCACATTTGACAGCGCAAAATAAGACGCAAGAAGCGTTTGTGATTAAGGCAATATCTTTATGTTTTTTGCACAGCTTTAAGCCTTATTTCTAATTTTAAAATATTTTTATAACACACATACGTACAAGTTATAGTGTATAAGGCAGGTGATTGAAGTAGAACATCATAATCCATGCTTACGTTAGCTTGTACAGCACAAATTTTATAGAATAACTAAAGTTTCAAGCATATTTTAAATATTCTGTAGTGTGTAATTGTTTATATATTATTGTTGTAGTCTATGGAAGTCGTAAGCGGCAATAAGTCGTCTCTGTAGACTCTGCCGTTCTTAAAAAATTTTAATGATATAGTTTGGTGTTATGTAGTTAACAGGAAAAAGAGGTCAGTTTTATTTTTAGCAAATATTATTTTTCCATTTTTAGGGTTGGTTAATGTAATATAATATAACTCTAAGTTAGAAACTTATTTGCATCTATTATTTTGCATGTATATTTATATCTAATAATGTTTTCAGGCCAGTTATTACACTCAGATTATAGGAATTTAGACTTTTAGTATTAAAATAATAATCTAATTGCACAATAATATGAAAATAAACACAAATATCTAAAGGGCTCTTATAGTATAAATAAAATATTCTTTTGCAAAAGGTACAAATCTAGGTAATACTATATATACAGGCCCTTAGCTTGAAATATACTTCGGGGAGATTTCAGATAAAATGCTGGATGCTTTTCTGTATCATTCTGTCAAAGGACGCACGATGCATTAATATTGAACAGACTTATGTTTATATACAATCCTTTGATTTATTTAACGAGAACGGGGCCTCTTTGACTTCCAGTCTTGGGTACGTAATTGGATATATGTTTATACATATTTATCAAACTGTCAATGAATTTATTATTTACTTAAATCTAAGATAAGAGTGTTAACTTAATAGCAGCTAAACAAAAGTTTATTTTTTCTGATAACATTAAAAATATTCCTCGTTGTATTTAGCTTATAATTCTAATAGTAACTAAAAACAATAAATAAGTATACATATATGAAAAAAAAGTATTTATGTATAATAATAGACAAAATTTTTGTTATTAGGCTGTTCTGGTTTAAAGCTCTTATGTACTAGATTTTCTGTTAAGATCCGAAGACCAGAATATTCGAATATACTAAAATGAATACAAGAACTGGTCCAAAACTCTAAACATAAAAACAATTTTCTTATGTTATCAAACCTCCGACCAAGAAATAATTTTAATATATACTATATAAAAATATTGCTATATTTATTAACCCATTTTAAATTCTTATGGAATCCATATTGTTATCAGAAATATCGTTCAAAATAGCTAATAAAAACATTTGTCTTTAACAACGCACATGATGATTGACTTGAGCAACCTTTGTCGCCAAATAGAGCACTAACAATAAAACTATAGCATATATAGCATGAATCGAAAAATAATTCATATTAGCTGGTAGATTGATGTTCACTTTAAACTCTGCTTTATGCTCTATTGATGATTAAACGAAAAAGCAATTAAAATTTATATCGCTTAAAACAAATACACATATTATTTTGTAAACATATTTATAATTATAAATTATAATTATTGACTATTAGCAATATAGCTAATGGTATCGAAGTTATTATTATTTTTTTTTTACAATTGTAAATGTTACACAATTTTTATTATTATTGTAATATTTTTTTATCGTTTATATGCCTATAAGGAATGCCCACTGTATACTCCCTTCAAAATTCCAATTTAATGTATATTTATTTTTTAACTTTTAATATATATTATTATATAAAACATATAGTATATATGTTAAAAGGCCAATGTACGAACAAAAGTGCCTGTCCCCAAATGTAATATTTATGTAAAAAATTTTAACCAAAACAAAAATTTATATATATATATAAAATAAAAAGAACGCAATATTTTTTGAAAACATTTGCCTATATATACAAATAAAATATGTATGCATAAGTACATGTATATACATATTTATAAAAGTTATTTTTAAATTCACTAACAAAATTATGACAAAAATAAAATTTGTATATTATATTTGTTTTATACCTTGTATATTTTTTTAATTTTTAATAATAATATGAATGCATGTAAATTATTAGCAATTTTAGAAAGTACTAATAAAAATCACTGTTTAATCCCAATATTTATCGTGTGTTCATTTTTTCAATTTTTTTTTTGAAAATGTGACTATGAATTTTTACTGCGCATTCCATCTGTAGATGTTGATGGCTGTTCACTTTGGTAATCTGTGACATTGTTCTCAGTTTGTTCATCTGGAGTTACTACTCTGGGCTTCATTATACTGAAAACAGAATTGTTGGACAATAATAACAATTTAATCAAATAAATATATATATTAGTCGTATGTAGGAGGTCTTTTTCTAAATTTTTTTTTTCAATGCTACAAAGGAGGTAGGAGGTAGACATCTTGAAGAAAGATGTCTCTATCTTTCTTCAAGACTAAACTATTTTAATTTACTTTAGTTTTGCTGGAAGTATAAAGGGATCGTTGTTTTTGTAACCCGTTTTTAAAGTGACAAACGTAATAATGTCAACAAAAAGACGAGTGATTTGGAGACGTAAACCCAGCCACTTAAGGAACCAAAAATATACGGAATTCAATGTTATGATTTCGAGCCACCTTAAACCTTTGTGCTGGGTATAGATCTTCTATATGTTGCTTCCCCATATCTTGTCACAACGTTAAATTTCTTTTTTTTAAATATAAAATAATAACTAATAATAATGATATAGTAAGAATTATGTGGGATATCGATGCTTTTAATGAATCTTAGCTCAATTGATCATTGAATCCGTCCCATTGAAATCGCTAGATTCGTCCGTATTGACCCAGTTTTACTTGAATTATAATTCCACTCATCCCCAATCCATACTTGTCTCTATACAATCTCCTAATAGTTATTTTACCTAATCATATCCCAATCTATGTAAACGTTACTCTAATTGCTTTCATGTTATCTGCTCCATAGATCTCTTTGGGTTAGAACAACCCCGAATATCAGGGTTGCAAGAACTACCGAATTTATGCCACGAATCCACTTGTCAAATTTGATGACCAAGCATCATTCAACGCTCCCAATATAGTGTTTACATCTGTCTAAATAGGCAGATCCTGGCGGGCTACAAAAACAACCACAACAAAACTCAAGAGTACTTAAAATTTCATTATTGAAACTTTCTAAATTGTGGATTCCTTAAGTATTCTAAGCATGTTCATTTAACAATGATTTATTTTAGTATAATATTAGAACTAACTATACAGCTATTTTGAATACAACCAAATACCAAATACAAAACGTTAGTGAATTTGTATTAAATTATTTTTGGTCTTACCGTAATTTTCTAGCTGCATATAAGGCACCTTCAGCTGAGGTCAGTTTAGTAAGAAATTCAGGTTTCAAATAGTCCTTCGAAGTATCATTCTCATCTTCTAATCCAAAATGCATAAGTGCTGTAGGTACACAATTCAGTTCTAAAAGCGTTTTATCCAAAGGCAAAATAGTTTTAGGTGGAATGCTAACTATTAAAATGTTTACAAATGCGATTAATTCATTAATTAATTAAAACACATTAATTAGAAAAACTTACATAGACAAAATTTTGCTTTTTCGTTTATCAAAAATTTTCGCACAAAAATCATTACATCCTTAACTGTGTCAATAGGCTTAAAAACAGCTTGCAGTACATGGCGATCAGGAAATTGTATACGAATAATGCAATTTTTATAAACGGAAATTTTATTAAGCATTGATTTACTTTCTTCCAGCTGACGTAGTTTTTCTGTCAACAATGGTGCATTTTCAGATCCACTAGCCTCTTTGCGTAAATCACGTAATATTAATTTTAAGTCGTTCACTGTCAGTTCAAAGAATGAATCGCCATACTCTTCTAACTCTTTGTGAATCGTATCTAGCGAGAAGAGTAATGCATTTCGATCACCTATCTAAAAAAGAAATATTAATTTATACTTAAAAATTCCATAAATTAACAATTTAGTATTTACATAATTTATGGCTGGTTCATTTTCCATATAAGCTTCTAATTTTTCTTTTTCGGCTCGTTCAGTTGCTTCACGTAATGCTAAATCATCTTCGGGACGCATTGAACGACCAGAACCAGAACCCCAATCGTATTTAGGTTTTGGTTTTTCACTCACTGCTTCGCTTTTAGGAGTATCGCCAGATTGTGCAACTGCTTTGGAAGTTACTGCATTTTGTTTAAGCGATGCAACTAGATCTTTTGTTACAGCGAAACCTCCACTACCACCACTACTATTAGTACGTGACTTTTTGATGTTCACATCTTCTTCTTTGGATTGTTGGCTAGTAACGGGTGCCACATAGACACTGGCTTGTCTAAAAACCAATCAATATTAATAATTAGTTATATACTTTAACTACTAAATCTTACGTTTTGAGTTCTTCTGGTTTTTTATTTATAAACCTTATCATCGCTCTACCTGCTGTAATTCCTAATGATTTTAATGTTGTTTTTGATATCCGTTCTTTGCCGATAATTTCAGTACGCATATATATTACGACAGGATGCTCAAAATTAGTTGCTTCTTTAGGATAAAGTTTCTCTACAACTTGCCAGAGATCATCTACTGCTGCAAATTCGCTCTGCTGTCGTGACCCATCTTCCATTTGCACACAAATTTCAACCGTTGAAGCGACACGCCTTTTCTCTAATTTTGTCATTTCAAGTAAACAATTGTTTGGTAACCCACTAAAGCGAAACATTTGTGTGAGCCCAATCTCTTTGTTATGATGTGTTAGACCATATTCATCACTTTCAAAGTTATGCTTTGTACAAACGTCCTCTAAAATCTAATTGAAACTCTTGATACAGAATATTTTTTGATAGACAAACTGAAGAATTTTGCTTACTTGTAATAAAGTTGTATTCGGCGAAACTTTCACAACTTGTCTGCGTCCATTGGGTGTCAACACTGTTACATTTTTATCCATATTTAAAAATATTGAAAAATCCTGGAGTATAAATATATAACGCTCCTTACTTTCCTAATTAAAAAATATGCCGCAAAATGAAAATATGAATGACTGTCAACTTTTATGCTATGTTTTGATATACACTTAAAAAAGCATGTGAGGTAAAATAGTACTATTCCAATTATTCAAATATTCAGCAAATATTTAGAAAGTTATGTAGTACAAAGACTTGGATACTATCTTAGTAATACTGTTTTATTAATTGTTTAATTGTAAAGCTAACATTTATATTATATATTTATATATGTAACTATGTATCTTGTACGTCAATGTAAAAATCAATTAACATTGCATAAATAAAATTGTTATATATTGAGTAAAGTGCTGTTACATTATTTTAATTAATTAATAAATTGTGTAAATTTAATTTAATGATAAGATTTAATACTAATATTTAATGGAATAAAAATATATAATATACAAATAAATAACAAAATATTATATATAATATATATATATGTATAGAATATTCTAAATTTTTTTAATAAAGTATTATAACACAAGTGTTTGTATTATATATTCACAGTTATTTATTTATTGATAATTACAACAATTGAACGCAGTGAATTCCCGTTTACAAAATATATACGATTACATATAATACTATTATTTCCAAGCGTAGTCATTTTACAATAACTAAATGATTTTAAAATGTTATTTTTTCTTGCCGAAAGTGAGACGTCTTTGTAACGAAAAGAAACTATTTAAAAATTAGACGAATTCAAATAGCAAAGAAAAGACAAATATTTGTATTGTAAAAATTTGACTGATATCTCGCGAATCAAATTGTAATATCGTTTAGCGTAACGGAGTACTTATTCAGAATAGTGAATCTAATTAAAATCCATCAGCGAAATGCAGTGTCCCCGAATTCTTAATCGCGTCAGAACGACTTAAGAACTGCAACATTAAATTGAACCACATAAATAATATTCTACTTTAATGCCTTAAACACATTTTAGTATAGATTTTGTATGAAAAATAGCATTTTTAATATCACATTTGTCTAGTGAATTACAATATTGTAAACATACCGTAGCAGCTCATCACCCACTTCAATAATAAAGAAAACAGAACTTTCAAAATACTCAACTTAGAAAACTTTCTATCATTATTATAAATAATTAAGTATTATAAATATACATTTTTACCAGAATATCAATCATTTTACTTCATGTTATTAAATTTTTAATATTTTGAAAAAATATTCATATTAAATTATAATAAAAGAGAAATATTTTAAATTTTATTTATCATAACAATTTAAATTTTGATTAATATGCATCAAAAAGTTCCCTAAGCTTTAAAATGCATTCCTATTATTATTAAAGCTATTTGAATTGAACATTTAATTACAGTTAAAATGTCAAAAGGTAAAAAACGTTAATTATTATTAATCAATTATATTAATTTCATTACTTATATACCTAACACAGTTTTAATATTTGATTAAGAAATTTATTATCAATTATTTTTAACAGTGTTCTATGTTTTAATGCAGCAGCTGGGTAAGGTTTATTTAATAACAAAATTTTCCGGGACAACTTTTTCAAAACAAATTAATAAGCTGAACAAATTTAAAGATTTGGTTATTAAGCACCGAACCCAAATTCGGAAAATGGCTTGGAGATCCGTAGGAGCTAATAATGCGGACTTAATACGCCAATTAAGAGGTAAAACAAATTTTTTGTCACAAATATGGTGTACATATGTGATTAATTTGAAAAAATAATTAAGGGGTAAGAGTCCTATTATTATATTTGATATTTGAAATATATTCTGGTTGGATTTCCCGAACTGAAGCAAGTAATTTGGAACTTGTTGAGCATTTACGAGGTACGCCAGATATGTTAAATCCAAATTAACTACATGTCCAACATACAAATTGCATTGCTTATAAATTTACATATACTATACATTTTTTAAAATAAATGCGCATAATTTTACATAATTTTTTTATATATTATATTAATTGTCTTTAATACTAATAAATAATTTATTTTTAATTTACAACATAAAGCATTTATTGTAATTATATTATGTGTATATATATTTTTTCTTGCAGATTATGGTGTGGTTAAGTCAGATATCGTAGCTCAAGCAATGCTCAGTACCGATCGACGTTATTATTCACCACGTAATCCATATATGGATGCACCGCAAAGTATTGGAGGTGGAGTTACAATAAGTGCACCCCACATGGTAATTTTATAAGGTTTTTATATTATAAATTCTTTTAATTATGTTTTTATATTATTCTAGCACGCTTTTGCTTTAGAATATCTACGCGATCATTTGAAACCTGGTGCTCATATACTGGACGTAGGGTCTGGAAGTGGTTATTTAACAGCTTGTTTCTATCGTTTAATTGAATCAAAGGGAAACGTTGCAAATACTCGCGTTGTTGGCATAGAACATCAACCAGATCTTGTAGTTACCAGTCAAGCAAATCTAAATTCCGATGATCCTAGCTTATTAGAATCTGGGAAACTAATCATTATACGTAATTCTTTTAATAATTTTATTTTTTATATTAAATTCCTTACTTTAAATCATTTTTAAAGAGGGCGATGGACGAAAAGGGTATCCTGAATTTGCACCTTATGATGGTATACACGTGGGTGCTGCTTCACCAGTTACACCAACTCATCTCATTGACCAGCTAGCTCCAGGTGGAAGGTAAACTTATTTAACTATTATGTATTTATTTATTTATTTTAATAATGTTTTTATAGATTAATTGTACCAGTTGGACCTGAAGGTGGTGAACAGTATATGATGCAGGTTAGTTTACACAGATATCAAAAATATAGTAATAAATTAATGTTATTTAAATTTTAGTATGATAAAGACGAAGCAGGTGAAGTAACAAGTTCACGTTTAATGGGAGTAATGTATGTTCCTCTTACGGATCTTCATCGTTCTTGACTGAAATTAATCTTAAAAATTTTATTGGTTGCCATAATTTTGGCATTCATAACATACCGAATTTGGATTTGGGCCCGAAATAAATTTTAAGTCTTATTACAATTAATTTTGAAATATAAATCGGTCAAATACTATTAATCTAACCTTAATATATCTATAAGCAAGAACCTATTTTATTAATCGAAATTTGTCGCAAAATATTTTACTTAATTAAAAATAAAATAATGTAATAGCTCTAAAAGCAAATTTAAGTATTATATTTTTGTAGAAGAATGGAGATAAAATGCAGAAATGACATATGAATCAGTAGAATTTTCTCACCTCATCAATCTATCATGAATATATTAAAAAACTGAACTGGTGGCTACCAGTTCTGATAAAGTATTCTCTTCGCGATCGTATTTTCATAACAACTCATTCTTAACGTTCCTGCTGCTATCATCTTTGAAAAAAAAAGAACGACTAGATAAGATACCGTTCTGATACAATTAATGTACCATATATATTTGATGTGGGCTTTCATTGTAGCTCTACATCTTATGACGTGACCAATCCGTTTAATAATCGCAGTACGCACATAAATGGGTGCTTTTTGTTGTGATAAGACAATTTTAATGGCAGAGACCTCAAACCTTGCTGTTTGATTCAACAGTTGTTACCGATTTCATTCCTAACTCCACTATCAACTATCACTGACAATAGACTTTCTTCTCAAGACTTTCTGTGCTTTGTTCATACCTAACTTAATCAATTTAAAACGGAATAAGATTATAAACTACTCAATGTTTTTATATATTATTATATTAATATAATGTTATTTGTGTTATTTTTTATTTTTATTAATTTAAAATACTATAAAACATTCCTGATCACATACATTTCGTTGAATGATCCGCGGACAAGATTTTTTCGAATTAAATTATATTTTCGAAAATATGACGTTTGTCATATAGTTGTCTCTTTCTTCCATTACTTTGACTGTTTGCATGCTTTCGAATAAGAAATACAACAAAAGGAAAGAAGTATTCAATGAATTGGTAACAAACGAGTTCGCAAATTTTTTGTTATCAATATTTTAAATAAAATAGACAATATAAATAATTAAATTAAATATTAATAATAACAAATGTAAAGAATAAGTTAAAAATAAAGTGTACGATTTCAAAGTAATTAAGACATAATTAAATTACTTTAGTGCGTACAAAGTCGAGTGTGACCAAAATCAAGTGCTTTTTAAATAATTATAGTTATTTAATAATATTAAGTTATTATTATTATTAAATATAGTAGATTTTTATTAACAAAAGAGTTTTAAGACTGCATATTTATATTTGCACTGCAAATTTTCAACAATTATAAAAATCAACATAATTGTGCTGAAGCACGGGTATAGCACCTCAGCAATTAAATCAGAACTCATTATGACTACGGTTAATATCAATTCACGCCCAAACATTCTAAAAAAACAAGGCACCGATCAGTGGGTTAAGCTCAATGTTGGCGGCACATACTTTCTGACCACGAAAACAACTCTATCCCGCGACCCAAATTCCTTCTTGTCACGCTTAATACAAGAAGATTGTGATTTAATATCGGATCGGGTATGTATCAAAGCCAGTGGCACCACATGACATTCAATTAAAAGAAAATAATAATAAAAAAATAAATAATAAATAATTTTATTATTATAATCTTATCTAAAAACGTTTTATATAATTTGTCGATAATTAAATAATTGGAATTATTATTGAATCATTCGTTAATGTTGATAGCACATAATGTTTACTTTCTGCGCTGTGTTTGCCTTTCAGTTGAGGGTTAGTTGTTAGCGAGGGGAGCTCTATTATTGATTTAATTTTCCCTATTAAATACCTACTCATGACCTGTATAAAAATGTTTGTTTGAGCTTAAATTGGTGCAAAAATAATGTAAACAAGCGCAAAGGTAGTGTCCGTATGTGCGATGTACGATGTGCTGTGCTATGCTGTGTGCTGTGCTCCGCTGCTTGTGGGACGGCAGCGAGAGTCGGTATTTTCTATTCAAAATATAACAAAACAAAAAAAACAGCCACAAACGGTCATTTGCAATTAAAGCTTCCATGTATATTTTTTTAATTCAGTATTTTTGTTTGTTTTTATTATTAATGAAAAGAAATTAAAATGAATTTATTGTTTCCATTCCAAATTCCAAACAGTGTGAAGAAATGTGTTTATTCGTATTTAAATGCCATTGCATGTGTTTGAAATTAAAACTAAATTGTTTTTTATAATTTTGTTTTTTTGCAAATTTATAGGATGAAACTGGTGCCTATTTGATTGACAGAGATCCAAAATATTTTGCGCCAGTGTTAAATTACTTGCGCCATGGTAAACTGGTACTAGACGGTGTGTCGGAAGAAGGTGTGCTGGAAGAAGCTGAATTCTATAACGTGACTCAGCTAATTGCCTTACTAAAAGAATGCATCAACCACAGAGATCAAGTAATTTTTATTAATAAATAATTTACATATGTGTATTTTTTTTTAATATATATGCTTTCATTCTATTTATAGAGGCCAAGTGGAGATAAAAAACGCGTCTACCGCGTACTTCAATGCCGTGAACAGGAACTGACACAGGTTCGTTGTACTCGTCAATATAAAACATTTTCATTTATGCGGGCAATATCGAAACAATTGCTTCAGTTTTAAAATTTTTCTTATACCAAAACATTTTCCCAGATACTAGCGTGCAATTTCAATTTTTTTTATATAAATTTTCATTGAATGAACAATGAATGAACAAAACAAATTACTTTTGTTTTGAAATTTGAATTTCGTTTCATTTTAATGATTTAATGCTTAATTTCAATTGACGTGGGAGAAGTTGAAATAAACAAATTATTTTACAACTTTCTAAATTCGATTAAATGACAAGAGCATTTTTGTCATTAAAAAATTTATAGGTTATTTCCATTTCTATTATTTCTTTCTATATATATATACTCAATATATACATTTGCATAATAATATATTTAATTGGCTTTGTTCAATATGACTAAATACATCCAATAAATCACGTAAGTGACAGCTGAGTGTGGGGGTTTCATAGAATAATAATTTAATAAAAAAAAATTTTAATATTAATGTTTTTCTATTTATATTATTAAGTATTTTAATACTAAATGTAGCAACTACTATATACCTTGCAATTAAATAGTTTCTTCTCATTGAAATATTTGGCAGAATGGTTCAGATTTTTATCTCCATAGTTTATGTTTTAACAACATCTACGTTTGTACCGATATATACTTTGATTAACTTGAAATTTTAGATCACCACAATGAGATATAGTTGCCTCCAAGTTTAAATATTGATCTTTGCAACTATCGCCTTTAATACCTAACGTATTAGCGAGCACAGGGACATTATATATTAGATTTATACAGCTTAATGCTTACATAGCCAATGTTAGTTTAAACCTCACTCATTGATAATTTCAAGCAGGTTAAAACTAAATAACTAACTAACCAAATATCTAAGTTATAGTATTGCCAATATTTAGTTCAATTAAGTAATATTCCACTGGCTTTACATAACATAATAACTGTGATTTTATTTTTCATTTTAGTTTGGTCTTTAGTTAGAATATGTTGAGTATATATAAGTTCTAAACACTATATTTCCAATGTCCTGCGTTGTTGTAATTTATGTCATTTTACGATCCTTTCGGTCGTTGAATTTTCAATTCAGTAGTAAGCTATATTTAGTTCTGTGGGTTACAACAACAACAACAGGCGACACATATGTGTTACATCTATGTATAGAATCTGGTGCCGCATACTAGGTTTTCTTTGTTGTTCTTATGATAATAGAATTTTGCTGATTTTGAATTGTAAAATAAACCATGAAATGATACATGGTAAGTTTTTTTGTTACAATTTAATTGATATTGTCTTAAAATCTATTACTTATATGAATAATCTGATCATAATAGTAATTTTGAAGATAAAATATTCTTCTAAATCGCGAAATAGGCAAAATTTTTGGACATGAATGACTTAAGACAATATCCGTATTATAATGGTTCATAAATATATATATTTATGGTATATATATATATATATATATCAATTGTTAATTTTCTTTAGCACATTTTGTTTGTTTTAGATAGCACAATTAATTTTATTTATTGAAGTTTTTGTAATTCAATATTTTTTGTGTTTACTAAAGCTCAGCACGCTTAAATTCCTTATTATAACAATTTGTATGGTTTATATGAAAATATTTTGTTCATAAACAAATTTAATGATGAGAAAAAAATTTGAACTTTTTATTATATTCAAGAAATTTATTTATTGATTGTTTACATTTGTTTTGCCTTTAGATGATCTCAACGCTGTCCGACGGTTGGAGATTTGAACAGCTCATAAGTGTTGGCATGCAATTTTCAAATTATGGACCATTTGAAAACAATGAATTTCTTTGTGTTGTTTCGAAGGAATGTGGATCAACTGCCGGTCGTGAACTTGAAATAAATGACAGGGCCAAAGTGCTGCAACAGAAAGGTTCTAGAATGTAAGCCAGTGGATAATTTATACTATTTCGTTTAAATAATTTTTCTTTTATATTTAAAATTATATATAAATTTGTGCATAGCAATTTAAAATTGCCTTTTAGATAAAAGAAAAATAAAAGAAAAAAAATTAACAAAATAAAATATATGAATAGGAGTAAATGCAATTATAATAATAACATATTTCATAAAAAAAATAATTTTATATAAAACAATATAAATTATATATTAATGTAGTGTAATTAGAAGAGATCAATAGCGAGCGAGTGTTTAATACAAGTGTTCCAAATATTATTTGCGCTGTTTGAAAGTTTCAACATTTTTATGTTGGAGCATGATTTTACTCCATATTTACTCCTATTATTCGAGTATATTAGTGTTCGAGTATTTGCTAATATTCATATTTGTACACAACAATATGAAAATAAAATAAATAATAAATCAGATTTGTTCTTCTAGGAGCTCAAACATTTTTGAACATTTCAAACTTCGATTTGAAGTTCAATTTCGAACTGATCGAGCATCGTAATTCTTAAACACTTTGCAGTTCTATAGAATAAGTATATGTCTTCTTTGATTACACTAAAAAAAATCAAAAAACATAATCATTAAGCATTAAATACGAAACACAGATACTATAAACAAGTCTTAGTCTCAACATGCATGTTTTTAATGTTGTTAAATTATAATAATTTTTTTTTATAATACTTGCAAATAGAACTTTTCCCACCGTCAACGTCACACACGTATCTTGTTTTAAATTTAATGGTGGGGTCTCGTAAATGTGTAAAACAATAATAATTTCATATTCGTATTTATATTAGTAATTTAGTGATATTTAGTAAAGTAAATCAATTATTTATAAGATAAAATAAAAACCTAATGTGTATACAAGTGGGTAAGTTATTCGAAAGAAATTAACTCGTTAATTTTAGTAACGTAGTAAATAATTACGTAGAACGCACAAAAAAAAGTAGGGATATATATAAATATATGATATAAAAGTAAACGCGCAAATTTTATATATATATATGTATTGAATTTAAAAGTAATATTGCTATATATTTGTAATATAACAATGCTTAATTGTTAAATCGTAAAATTATAATAAATTTAAAATAGGTTAGGAAATTTTTAATTGTATATTATGAAGCACAAGCTAATTTTTAATTTTTTTTATACTTATATTAAATATTTAATAATTTTATATCTGATCAAAATACCATGTTGCCTTTTTAAACAAATTTTTAAGCTTATTAGACAATTTTCTACAAATCTTATTTAATAATTTTGGTATATAATGGTATATTATATTCTATTAATATTTCGTACAAAATTAAAACTAAACAAATCTCTTCATTATTTAAAATAAGTTCGTGTTTATTCAAACTCTAATTGAAGTAGTTGATTTTATTAATTAAGTAAAAAAGAAATTAATTTATATGTCAATTTATTCGATCGTGACAAACTAATCGCGACCCAACGATGATACTTTCATTCATTAACAGTACCTTTTATTATTGAATCGACTGAATTATTGAATTTCAAATTTTATCAAAAATGAACTTTATTCAAAAGCGATTAAAATGGTTTTCACGATGTTGAGTAACGAATTTCGTAACCATGAAATATAGTAAGTGGAAAGCGCGGCAACAGTACAGTACATTTTTAGTAAATGTTCTTTGTCACTCCTTTTCCAAGCTTGTTACTGCGTTTTATGAATGCTACTATTATCTTTGTTTTTAAAAAGGAATAATAATAAGCGATTCCATAGCGGTCGGGATTACTATTCGTAGTCGTTCTTCAGTTTTTTTTTTCAAAAACATTTCTGCCATATGGGTCATTCAAAAAAAAATGGTTGACTTTGAGAATTCTTCAGTTTTTTTTGGAAGATTTTTCTGCCATTTAGGTCTTTTAAAAAAAACACTTGGCTTTGGGATACTTGCCTCCTGGAATCTAGTCATTTGTCTTGAACGACTAAATGCTGCTTGTTTATTGTTTGTTAGTCTTTCACAGAATTCTAGACACTGGTTAATAGGTTTTCTACGAGTAAAATTAAAGTGGATTTTTGTGAATATACTATAATATGTTCTTCAAGTAGAAATTAGTAAATGGTAATAAGTTAAATATGTAGATTTTAAATATGTTTTTTAATTTTTAAGTATTAGTAGTAAATCATTCATTATAATTTGAAACTTTAGGCATCATTATATAAGATATTTTTTTACTATATACTGATATCAATGTGCTATAGTGCATCATATACATGAAAGCTTTTCACAATTAAAAGTAAATATTCATACTATGCACAAAATATAAAATTTTGTATTATAAATTAACAATTTTAAAATTCCAAAAATTTTTTTTTGCTTTTCTAATGTTTTTTTTTTACTAAATTTAACACAATTTTTAATTAAATTTTTTCTCTTAATTTCAGTCTTGGAATATAAACAAAACAAAAGCGATATTAAAAGTATGTTTTGGGCATAGATGATTGAAACCCCTTCCTATCACAACTCACCACTCTGAAAACTCACCAACAAAACAAAATATAAATCAATCAAAACACATCAAAATTATTAAATCATTTAGTAATCATAAAAATATTTATTTACATTTTTTTTCTGTTTATGGAATTATATTTTAAATTTATAGAAAGAACAAAATACGTTTTTTGAACATTAGATACATATTTTAGATAACGTATTTCTTATTGAAATAATTTTGTGTTTCATATATATAAGTTTCAATTATGCAGAAAAAAAAATATTATTCAAACTAATTTAAAAAAAGTAGTAGTTTAAATTTAATTTTGACCAACAAAATAACAAAAACAATAAAACAATGTAAGCAAAAACTGTTAATGTTGAACAAATAGCATGTATATAAAATATTCTGGTTCTTATAATAGAGAATGTACAATAATTATATTTTATATAAATACATGATTATTATTTTTTTTTTTTGTTTTGTATTTTTTGTTAATATATCATACAAAAATGTCTCAACTTAAAATTCGATTTTAAAACATTACTTGCTCGACTCATATAATTATATTTTGTATACTGTTATATATGCTATTTTAAATATGTAAGTATAGTTATGTATACAGTATACAAATTTATTTATGAGTCTTTGTGTAAATGCGTCATGTTTAATAAGCTATATATATCTACATATACATATAAGTATATATAATATAATTAACGTTTCTTTTGTCATATAAAAAACTCAATTTTATTTATATGTCAAACGTATATTGTTACTGGATATGGAAAATTCGCCTTTATACTATATTTAAGCATAACTAAAACTATTTAATAAGTAGCAAGAAATATAATTAAAAAATCGTATCAATTATTATTTTTAGCTGAGACATTTTATTAGTTCTTATATATTTAATATTTCTTTATTTCAACTTATTGTTATATAAGTTAAGTGAAATAATTATGTAAACCTTAACAACATTATTTAAATTTGAATTAAATATTAATACAAACAAAAATTGTTCAACAGATACAAAAAGTGCATTTTATTTATAAATGAATTTATTTAATTTATTAAAACTAATAGTTATATATGTTAGTTACTAATATTTAGTTGTAAAAGTTTTGTTTTCATGTTTATTATTGATATAATAATACAAAAAAGAAAAAAAAACAAAATTATAAATAAAATAAACTAACTCTCGCATTTAATGCAAAATTGTTATATTTTTAATAGCAAAAAAATTGAGTATCTTCTATTTGGCAAGATATTAATTACAATTTTATTTTAATGTAATATAACAACTTTTTCATTATACTCACAAAATGTATCTAATTATGACTGAAAAATTTTTTTAACAATAGTTTAATTTTGAAAACAATAAAATTTCATTTAAGCAAAAAATTGATGTAGAAATTTTAATTAGGCATAAAATGTAACATAAATAATTTTTTTTTAACATCATTTCATTAAACTCGAGGAAGCATTTTATGATGTTTGTTTTTAATATAAGAATAAAATGATAATATTATTAAGTTTTAAGAGCATGTAAGAGCATTTAAGAGCATGTATAAACAAAATAATCAATAAATTCCCTTTTTTTAAAAAAAAACTTTAAAAAATTAACAATTACTGTTTTATTACACATTTAACTAATTAAATTTTTTATAACAAACCTATTTGGTGGGCTGTCCTTAACAATGTTTGCTAATATTATAAATATCTACTAAGGAACTAACGATCTTAGATGCCATAAGATAGTTAAACATCAAAATAAAATTATGTTAACTGCATGGTACAATCTGACTAAGAAATTTTAGACGTTAGACTAGTAACTTTATTTCTCTGTTTTTAAAATTCTATAATTTTTGCTGCTATAAGATAGTTAAACATTGAATTAAAAAAATTTTGTTAACTATATGAAGCAATCTGACTAAACAATTTTAGACGTTAGACTAGAAACTCTATTTCTCTGTTTTTAAAATTTTATAATTTTTTCTTTTTATGTTATTAGTAGTTAAATACATATAATCCACTAAATATGTTTTACATTAAGTGAAAAGCTTTTTACGAATAGTTTGTTGCGAAGTGAAATATTTAAAAATTAGTAATGAATTGAAGATTGCTGGTTCTTAATTAACAGAGTAGACAAATAAGTAAACAAATAAACTATAACTAATTACTTCAAAATGGATTTAAACAAATTGGACTGGAAGAACTGCGTTATATACAACGATATCGAAACTTGATATAGTGGATTGGATATACTTTAAAAATTGTAAGTACCGTTTATACAATATAAAAAATAAAACTTTTTCTTTTTTACATTTCTAAAGGCCCCTTATATAGTCACTGCTTGGCCCCTTATATAGTCATACAGCATTTTGTATATTTTAGTGGAAAATATGTGGAAAATAGTAAAAAATATATTTCATTGTAAAGTGTAAGTCTTTTTAGATCGTTCAATTTGTCTCATACAACAAGATGGTTTTTTTCATACCCATAATCACTCTAGTTTGGTTAGGGTAATTGATTACCTAAATTCACTTCTCATTATGAATCAGGGTTTTCACTGTAATTTAAAATAAAATTTAAGGTTTGTTATAGTTTAAAATACAAAACTTTGTTAATTATAATCATTAAATTAGAATTAAATCTGTTGATTTAATTTAAAATCCCGATCAAAACTATCTCAAAATTTTACTTAATTTTGTATAAGACAAATAGACACATAATATTTGTCATCTGTCTAATAATTGATTTTTTTTAATGTTATTAAACTAAATATTCATGTATGGTAAATCAAATTAAAAATATACTAATATTTACTAATTAAAATAATATGCAATATAAAATTGGCTTGATTTTAGTAGCTATCAAACATAAACAATTTAGTATTTGTATATCAACATTTACATACACTGAACACACCCAACAACTGACAATATGTGAGAAAATGTAAATAAATGAAAGAGGGTTCAATTATTTTTTAATATTTATTGGTGTAGATAATTTACTGGAAAATAGTATTTTAATAAGATCATAATTGCATTCAAAATGAGTTTTCTTTTTGCACCAATACCTTCTAATAACTGTAAGTAATTAAATTTATGTAGAAAAATTATGTAGTAAACCAATTTTATGTATTTGCAGTTGAAATGTCGGACAGGGAGCTCTTGTTATGGCAGCGGAAGGCTATATTTGAGTGTGAATGTGAAAATTTGACAAATCAACGTAAACTTATTTTATCTGGGGATCAACGGTTTATAATAGAGCAAGCTGCATTACAAGCAGCATTACAGGAGCATGGCTTACAAATGCGTCAACCAGCAAACCACAATGCTGGTGCACAGAGTCCACCAACTCAAAGACGTAATTATAGGCCATATTTTCGCAATCAACGTCGACGTTTGCATAGCGATTACATATAAATGAATTAAGTATTTAATAATTTGTAATTTCTTCTTGCATATATGTGGAGTAGAAAAGAATTGTCTTCTCTTTAATATAACAATGGAGAAAAATCTTAATATTTATGATATATTTGGCATTTGGCATAGTCACCATGAAATCATTATTTTAGAAATTATACATTTTTAAATAGTTTTAGTTTTACAATAATAAAAATACAAAATAAGATTCTCTCATGAAAAAAAAAACGTTTAAGATGTGTATTGAGTGCCACGTTATCGTGTGAGGTATAACGAGACAATGAGTTTTATTATTTGGTATAATAATATACTAGGCTGAGTTGTTTTTGTTTGGAAGGATTGGGAACATAATATTTAAAATATCCGTAGTGTTATTACAAACTATAGACACGATTTGCAAATATTGAAAATTTAATTTTTTTACTAGGTAACCATTTATACCGAATTAACAATTATTTAATAAATATGGTATATCATTGTTAGTTGCTTTTATTTTTTTAATTGTCATATTGAAAGTTTTAAAATATATATCGAGTACAATTTTTTTTCTAAAATTATTATTAATGTTTATATCTACTAATAAATATATTTACGTATTTTTTTTTATTATAAAAAATAATTCGAAAAATTGTTCCCAAACATTTTTTTAAAATAAGTAAAAAGTACAAGTGGTAGCGCGATGTATACCTTAATTAGTTTGTAATATATATAAAAATAAATCCATAGTTTGAAGAACTTTCAGATTTACATCAATTTGAAGGTAATACCTCCACTTCAACCTAGTCTAATTATCTCTCAATTAACAAAAGATATATTTGTTTTGTGGATCGATCGAGATATTTATGACTTTTTATGTTCTAATATTTAAACATATCCCATGTGTAGATTTTTTCTTATATCTCATGTGTAGATATTGTCTCATATCTCATGTGAGATACAAGGCTTGTTGCTAGAAATTTTTTTAGGAAAGAATTTTCAAATAAGTTTATTCAAGATGCATAAATGAGTACACGTATGTATAAATACAGTTATTTGATTCATTTCGAGCAGAACACTGGCTACGTGCGTGCCAATCAACTTCTTTTTTAAAAACTTTATTCATGGGTCATTGAATTACATATAAAATAATCACAATTTATGATATTAGAAACCATTAAAATACTTAAGATTAATTTATTGGGCCAGAAAAAGATTATCGTAATATAGAAAGAAGACTGAAAAAATATTTAAATACCTGATTGGAGAGTAACCACATCAGATCAAAGAAAATGGAACACAATAGTCTACAAAAAACTCTAACACTAGAAAAGGAATGGAAGTACATACAATATACAAATTAGTTGGAGATTTTTGGTAATTCCTGTTCATTTTATTTATTGAAACTGGGCTTAAAAGTAATATACCAAATACCAAATAAGCGGGGAATTGGAGATGTTTAGTAATTCCTCTTGGTTTTGTTTATTGAAACTGGGCTTGAAAATAAACAATTTACCAAATAAACGGGGAGTATTATTTGACTATCACCATATTGCTCATGAATTTGCTTAATTCAGTAATATATGTACATCTTTCTTGTCAAAGACGCAGAGAAATCTGTTACTGAACGAATCACAATTTATGGATAGAACATCCATTAACAGAGAAGATTAAATTCAGAGTATTGTATACATACGTGTGGTTTGAATACAGTTTCCTTTGTGAACTTCCTCTGTGAGAAATTGAATAGGAATGAGTAATATTAAAAAAACAGTTAAATGTTATATAACATATAGTTGTTACGAATATATATGTTATAAATTCAAAATTATTTAATATAGTTAGATTATACAAATTAGTTATCTTTGGCAATGATTACATTAATGTGTTGATAGCGGTTATGCTCATAAACTATAATGTTCAGCTATTTTTCAGCATTTTTTGATATTTTTTTATTTTTTCATTTTTGAATAATTATTTTTATTTATATTTATATGACTTTTTCTTTATTTTAAATGTTATAAAATTGTGTTTGCAATTTTATTTAAATTAATTATTATTTTGAATTATTTCATAACATGTTGAAATTAATTAATTAATTTACTAAAAATGCTTATCTTTGTTTACATATGAATTCAAAAATGTATTTCACCACACGAATGAGCATCACACCATATATATTCTGCCAACAAATGAGGTAAGTACGACAATTGTTGACATATATACCAGCCGGTCTCCATGTGGCAGTTTTTTTTGTTAATAAACATTACTTTTTTAAATTAAAATAATAAAAAGTGTATTAGTTTTTAAATATGTCTTCATTAAAGCGAGAAATTGATAGATTGCAGGCTTTAGTGAGTTTATAAAAATAACTTTTTATTCGATTTGTTGAAAATATTTATTTAGGAACGTATGACTGCTGAGCTACGAACACAGATTGAGAATGCGAAAAATGGAGTGATTGTTGATAATGATGATGAGGAATACAAAAAACTGCTTATAGAAAATACGAAATTAAAACATCGTTTATCTATTTTAGAAAATGTGAGTTTACACATAATTAATTTTTTGTTGTTCTTTAGATTAATGTAATGTTCTAGGCTATTGAAACTGAGAGAAAGGCATCTTCAGGCGGTGGAAATATCTCGACTACAACGAGCTTTACACCTGCCACCGTACCAACTATTGTCAATGAAATGATATCAATTCATCAGCATTTAACAGATGTGTTCACTAATGCAATTGCTATAGCTTTTGAGCAACTGGCAGGTACTACAGCAATTATATCACCTGTTGCGGCAAATGCTTCAAAATTTGGAGATTATCAGTGTAACAGCGCTATGTCAATTGCAAAGTCATTAAAGCTTTTGGGCATAAACAAATCGCCACGCGATATTGCAAATGAAATCTTAAAACAAGTGCAACCATCACCTTTGATAGCTAAATTAGAAGTAGCTGGTGCTGGCTTCATTAATGTGTTCTTAGAAAAGTAATACAATTTATTATGTGCAATTGCTTAACTTTTTTCTAAATTTCATTTATTTTCTAGGACATATGCTGTTCGTGCACTAAACAATATATTGAATTCAAGTGTAAAACCACCACATTGTACGAAACGACGTGTATTGGTGGACTTTTCTTCTCCAAATATTGCAAAAGAAATGCACGTAGGACATCTTCGTTCTACTATTATTGGTGAAAGTACTTGTCGGTTTTTAGAATATATGGGACATGATGTGCTACGTGTTAACCATTTAGGAGATTGGGGTACACAGTTTGGTATGCTAATAGCACATTTAGAAGATCGTTTTCCAAAGTTTACTACTGAAAGTCCACCCATAAGCGATTTGCAAGCATTTTATAAGGAATCTAAGAAGCGGTAATTATAATTATATATTCTAATTTTATTTGTAACAGAAACAAAAGTCACAGGTAGGCAATGTTAAATACTTGTAAACATTAAATAGTTGCATATCTAAAACCAAGATATGTAGTTATTGCATACGGTATTTAATTAGTAGTTGTAGTAGTAATTGTTGTTATATTAATCCCAGAAGAACTGTATTATAAGAACTGTATGTATTATATTATAATACGAATACATATCATAGAATCACAATAGGTTAAAATGGGTTGGGTAGAATAGGAAATATTTAAGAGTGTGTGTGGGTATTAAGATACACACGGCCACGTCAACGTGCCGGAGTGACTCGTCTACCCAGACAACCCAATACCGATCACCACTCTCAACAGGTACAATATTTGTTTGAGAAATATAAGTTTAGATAACTTCGTTAAAATTTAAGTATATGCAATTAAGTATTTCTTAATGACTTATATACTGTTCGACTATTGGTTCGCCGGTTGATATCAATTGTAGTACAAAGTATCTTATAAGGTTGCAGTAATCTGATTCAGATTAAACTTTAACAACAATTGTTTATATTCTAAGAGAGATTTTTTTATAAATGGAATACAATTAGTAATAATAGCTTATTAGGAAATTATAAACAAAAAATTTAAGAAATAATCAGCGGCACAAGCTTAAGTATTACAAATAAAACTCATAGGACTAAAATAGTACCAACTTTTGTTAATTATCAACATTAATAATAATTAATTAATTAATTAATAAAATAAATAAATATCAACATTTGCAGGCAACATTGTTAATAGTGACTTCTCTTTTAAGAATAATATCGATTTAAAACAATTCATTTTCATTAGATTAGAACTGGTTACCATAGGCATCCATTTAGTCCTCACTACATATTGAATAAAATACAGAGCTTAAAAATAATTTACACTTTTAAAGAGAGGTTCTACAGCTAATTAAATCTCTACAGTCAAAAATAGGTCTCTATCATGTTCAACGTAGATTGCATATGTATTGAACAGTAACAAATTGATTGTGAATTACTTTCCTTATCTATAATATAATATATAATAAAAAAGAAAATAGAAAAACATTAATACGAGAATAATAATAATAGTTAAATTGTATTATTTCATTTAAAGATTCGATGAAAACGAAGAATTTAAAAAGCGTGCATACGATCGTGTTGTAAAGCTACAAAGTGGTGAGAAAAATTCGACAAAAGCCTGGAATCTTATATGCGATGTGTCAAGAAAAGAATTTCAAAAAATATACGATCGTCTAGATGTGAAAATAACGGAGAAAGGTGAATCTTTTTATCAATCTCGTATGTTGGATGTAATAAAATTACTTGAATCTAAAAATTTACTTGAGATGGATGAAGGAAGAAAAATAATGTGGCCAGAAGAAAGTAAAAGTGGTATACCATTGACAATTGTTAAATCGGATGGAGGTTTCACGTACGATACCTCAGATATGGCTGCCATACGATATCGTATCGAAGAGGAGAAGGCCGATTGGTTAATATATGTTGTAGATGCTGGTCAGAGTACGCATTTGAAAAATATTTACCTAGCTGCCGAACGTAGTGGTATTTTTAATCCAAAAATACATCGTGCTGATCATGTACAATTTGGAGTTGTATTGGGTGAGGATGGTAAGAAATTTAAAACACGTTCTGGCGATTCGGTAAAATTATCTGAATTATTGGACGAAGGTTTGAAACGATCCTTAGAAACATTGAAGGAAAAAAATCGTGATAAAACCTTAACAGAAGAAGAACTGCATGAGATTCAGGAATCTGTAGCATATGGTTGCATCAAATATGCCGATTTGTCGCATAATCGTATTAATGAATATGTATTTTCATTTGATAAAATGTTAGAAGACCGTGGCAATACGGCAGTATATCTATTATATGCTTATACACGTATATGTTCGATTGCCCGAAATTGTGGTGAAGACTTTTCAGATTTAAAGAAAATTCTTAAAAGTAAATCTATTGAACTAGAACATGAGAAGGAATGGAAATTAGCGAAAACATTATTGAAATTTCCCGATGTTTTGATAAAGATTTCTGGAGATCTATTATTGCATAGTTTATGCGAATTTTGCTATGATGTTGCAACTGTTTTCAGTGAATTTTACGATAATTGCTATTGCATTGAAAAGGATAAGAGCGGTAAAATTATTAAAGTGAACCATAGCAGGATATTACTTTGCGAAGCAACTGCTGCCGTATTAAGACAATGCTTCTATATTCTTGGTCTTAAACCAGTACAAAAAATTTAGATAAACATGCTGTAGCAAAAACCAGTTTTATTATTAATTTAAATAACACAATTTGTCAACTTTGTACTCTTTAATTTTAATAAAAATCTGAAAATATATAACAATACTTTTATACTTTTCGATTAACGTTTTGTATGCAATTAAATCGATTATTATGAAGGATTTTGGCTTTTCTCCCATAGAACAATTTTTGATACGATTAAAAAAAGCATAATTATATACCAATTGAATACAATTACTTATTTTATTTTATATTTTTTTTATAAAGAACAAATAAAAATTATGTACTCTCTGAATTTTAATAATTTTGTTTAAATAAATTTAATTCTTAGGGCCATTAGATTAAATTCTTCAAACTTTTATAGTTTTGCTGTCCTATGTTTCAATTAATCAGGTTACCGTAGTGTAAACAATTGAATTCTAATTGTTTAAATATATAGATAATTGTGAAGTGTGAGCATAGAATCAAATATTAACCTTTTTCTAAACAATATTGGCAATACGTTTTTAAAAAACGTTTGGTAGCACTGTTCTGATTTTATTTACATTCAGCAGCTGATTTTATTTCTTGTCTGGCTATTGAAGTGTTCATTACTATTTTGTAAAATGGAAAGTGATATATTAAATATAATTAATCAAAATATATCACTTGGAAATGAGTTAAATAAAATTTTAGATAATTATAAAAAGATACCAGGTGTTCAAAAAGTACAAAAAAGTATAAATCAGGAGATAAAATTTCTGGAAAAGGTAATTAAGCAGACTAATTAATTTGTTTGTATAAACAAAATAATAATTATAATTATAAAAGGCTATAAAAAATAAAAATTGCTTAACAAATCATGTGCAAAGCACTAATATGAATCACTTCAGCTTCTTGGTAAAAATTCTGCAGTTGCAACGTGATATTGTCCATATTGACTGCGGATTTCATCTAGAAGAACGATGTACACCTTTAAGAGTTGATATAGTTTGTGAAAACGGTTTGAAATGGATTAAAGGTAGATTTTAAAGTATTTATATAAATTATATATTAATATATATATATTTTAATAGCTATCGCACTTAACCCAAAGTCATTATTAAATGCTGCGAACGGTGAAGCTAGCTATGGTGCACGAAGTATCCTAGACCAAGCAGAGGAATTTGTAGCTGCAACGGAACATCATATGTGTTTGTTTCAAAGACCAAAGGTAATATAAGAAGAGTTAAAATAGTTATCCCTTGTCGGTTTCTATTAGTTTCATTATATGTATTGCCTTTATAAAAATTTTCTCTGCTTTTAGTTATTTAGACAAACTTCTGTCACGAAATACTTTATGATTGTCTCTTGATTATATCAGTTCATTCAATTGAAATACTTTATGATTGTCTCTCGATTATATCAGTTCATTCAATTGAAGTTAATTATTTTGCCATTTATGCTCTATCGACATATGCATATTAGTTTCTAATTATGATTTTAGTGCTCTTACATAGTTTTAACTATTAAGTCCATTCATTTCCGTATTGCAGTTGAAAGCTGAGTTGTTATGCTCCTTAAGCGTTGCATTGCAGTAAGTTGGTATGATTCTTGACCGTTCCAAGTGTTAAGTACAACACAAAGTTGTCTATATCTTAAAGAGAATTAATATTATGGGTGTAAATGATACATTATTCGGATTTAATTAACAAAAGAACCAACTATATAAATAAGACATTATCACTATAGATAGCCTACCTTACGTAGATTAAATTAGCTATGTTATGGGGTGACAATAATATATTTCATTTTTAAAATAACAGAAAGGGTATGAAGTTTATATAAAGAGTTGTTTGAACTACGAAAGACAACGGTTCTGTACCTACAAAAAACAAAAAAAAATTTTCAAAATTTAGGTTCTAGTTTACTTATTTGGACAATGTTTTTTAACAAAATAATATCTGTTTTGTTTATCGTTTACATTTGAAATAGAACTAAATTTTATATTGCTATTTATTTTTTTTTTATCTTTTTAGGTTGTTTTTTATTTTTGCCATGAAATTAACGCAGAACTCTTGGAAAAATTACAAAAAATTGGTGTAGAAACTGCTTCATTGTCCGATCAATCAGATGAAAACTTTAATTGCAATGAAGTAGTTAGTTTGACACCAAGCACTTTGAACTTAGATATTACCACTTTACTAGCGTATATTAGTTCTCTGTGCAATGGTGGAAGTAATTTTACATATACCGATCAATTTTTAATCGAACAAGCTGAGAAAGAGCGGCAAACACCTTTGAAGCCTGTGCTCGATGAACTATTTGCAGGTATACAATAAAAAATTATATTAATAACATAAAAATAATGTTTTATAAAATTATTATTATAGGAAAACGTCTTATTTGTTGTGAAATTGCATATAAATCTTTTCAAGATATCATTAATTTAATTGCTGGTCCAGTAGAACTCCAACGTGCTACTGAATTGATGAAGCGCGTCGAAATATTACCTGATATTACCGAAATACCTGAAGAACTCGCCACATTAAAATTAAGTGGACAAATTAATCAAAGATCTCTTAAGATATTCGCTTTTGGAATAAATATGAAAGCATTAACCGTGACATCGAATAAAGCCTTTATAAGATCAGCTAAAATGCAGGTAATCCATAAATCTTATAAATACTTTCGCCAGATGATAATTGAATAAAATTTATAGGGCATAAATGTACCAGTCTTTACTCACCAAGCTCGTGCGTTGACGGAACTTAAAGAAGCAAGTGCAACTAAAACAGATTGACAATGTCAAATATTTGGGAAGATTTTAAAGCTGATTTATATATTTTATTTTATATGAATTTACTAACATAAGTAAATATATACTGAATTATTATTTGAAGATATGCATTTAATAACTGTTAATTTTTGAAAAAAATATATTTTATACAAATCTAAATAGTCTAATTCCAAATTTAGCCTATTTTATTGAATTTAATTTAATTTAACTATTAATGTAATAATATGCATTCATGAGAAGTTTAATAAGATAATTAACATAAATATTAGAGCCAGTAAGTTTTAAGCACATATAATGTTATTGTTCGTGTTGCAAATCAGTAAGATCCACAGGTGAGGAAACCTGAAAAGGATTACAATACGAATACATGGGTTAAGATGTGTTTATGTGAGGATAAAGTAAGAAAAAGAGAGGTTGTTTGGGATAAGAAAGATATGAGAGCGTGAATGGGTCTTAATTGAAACTAGCTTTGGTCGACGTGGTTTAACTGGTCCAATTTAAATGGGCGGGGCTCAGTAGGGTTCAAATTAGTGTGTGTATCAGGCTATGAGAACATAACATATGTGACAGTTGAGCACACATTTGGACATGACGAATGACTGACTGCTTTCTGCACGAGGTAAGCAATATCTCTCTTTATTCTAAAGAGAAGTCAGTATAGACGTACAAAGCCTGTTTGGGTTTATTGCTTTTTCTATCTCACTTTTTGGAAAACTTAAACGCACTATCTTTTTCTGGTATGCCCCTCATGGTAATTAAAGTCCTTATCTCTTTTTTTTTTGAAAATGTTACGAATTTCTATATTTTTTTATCTTAACAATATGTTAATAATAAAATATTAATTTATTTGATATATAATTTTATAATATAATATACATAGTTTTTAAAATGTTTGTAGGAAATAATATTTATTTGTCCTTATCTCCGTAATATAGAGTTTGCAGCAGTGTGAAATAACTTAAAGACGTGCTAAGAATCTATTAGAAAATATTATTTTATTCTCATTAAAAATAATTGCAAACAAATACCGTTCTGAAACTTTGAAGAGATAGAGTTGAAAATTTTAGAGCAGTTATCTTAATGGGACGTTGACTACACAATATCATAAACTGTAAATTTGTACGAAACTCTTTATTTGCTGGATAAAGCTGTAAACTGTCGTAAGTCCTTAAGATCTTTGACCAAGATTTTTCATTTTCATACTTGATTAATGAACGTCCTTCCCAGTTGCATGCATATAAATGCCTAGCAGTATCAGTGGACTTCATTTCAAAATAAATTTATATATTAATATTGGTTATCTAACACATATGCGAGTACTTTTCTGAAAACTTACATTCTGTATCAATGAATCACCATTCCAGCAGAGTATATAAAGCTGAGATAGTGAAGATGATATATAGACTATAAATTTAACATAATCACCAATAAACATATCTTTTCCCTGTGAAAAAAACGAACGATGTTGTCAGTTCTCAAGTTTTGTTTAGTTACTTACAGTTACCAACTGAAAGCCAACCATACAAATAAGTATTGAAGATATCATAAAATTGACCAATAATATAGGATTAAAGAAATGTTCTAAACGAGTACTAAATCTAAAAACAAGTATACAATTATTTGGAACACTAAACACACATAGTCTTACTCAATTAATTTGCTATGTCTTCTAGCAATTTCTTTTAATCGTCTATTGTATTCAAGTTGTAACAAAATATGTGTGTTTGGATTTATAACACCGACGGTATCGAATATATATTTTCGAGCATCTAAAACTATAGTGTCAATATTTTTATGTAAAATACGGAATTGTCCACAGGTATAAGTAACGAAAAAACCGAATATTGAATCTTCTGCAAACAGAGTTGTCACCACACAAATGCCAGCGTAGGAAGTAAATATGTAAGTCAAGACATAGCGCCAACCATGATGAGCATCATACGGAAACAACATCTTATATGGAAATGGTTTTTCATCAGCATCTAAGCCCATTGTAAAGAGTTCTACGAGTGGTAGAAAGCAATACATCAATATTAAGCAGGAAAGTAAAACCGTCATTATGCGAAAAGTGTTCATATTCTTTTGACATTCTTTTTCGATTTCCGGATGGGAGTCTCTAACAAAAAAATTTAAATACATAAAAATAATATTGTTTTTTCTACGTTAAACACTTGAATAAAAAAAAAAATTTTATTTAAGAGAAATTAATTTAATAAACAAACTGATATATCTTTTTTATCCATTTTATATAGTATTACTTACTTTAAAATCCATATATCTTGTACGAATTGTGCTATGAGCTTTCGAAACTTAGTACGATTTAATCGTAAATGTAATATTCGTACAAAGTTGAGAGCACCCATAAAAGTAGTGCAGCAATTTTCTGTGGTCATGGCGATATCGCCAAAAGTGTTGAACAGAAATGCAGTCTGGAAGTAGATTGTTATTCCAACGGATATAATAACATACCATGACCAAAAATTATAGAAAGTAGCAAAACTATTCGGAATAAATGCAGAAGTAATTTGCAGTGGCCAAGAGCCATTCAATTTTAACCAGATGCACTGAAATGGAAAACGAAAATCCGGTTCCTTACTAGGTTTAGGATTAAACATGACAAAATAAGTAAGCCTGACGAGTTAGTGAATGACAAAATATGCACAATCTAAAGGATACTCAATTGATGAAAAAATTCGGCATTTTAAGGTTTTTATAGGGCGTTTAATAATTTCCGTGATTAACTTAATGATTTGTTGTTCTTTCAAAATTGTTCAATTTATTAAAAATTCCTTTTGCATTTATCCATTTGCGTTGTGAAAATACTCATTAACTGAATTTATAATGAAAATTTAAATTGATGAAACGAAATTTTTTAGTTAAAAATTTTATAGTTTTTTCTTTTTTCTACTGTAAATATTTTCATAAAATTTATTTGGATGTTCCTCATTTTATTTTCACTTCTCTAAAGGACAAGAGCTTCAAAATTGAAAGTACCAAATTATATATTTGAGAAACACGAAATAGTTATGGACTTTAAAAAAAGTGGAGTAAAGATATAAAGAATATCTTAAAATTTCCGATGGTAATTATGAGCGACATTTGATTTTCAATGTTATAGAGTGATAAACGGGTTAACTATTTGTTTTTGCATATAGCATTTTGTTTCTTCGTTAGAATCTTGGTTCTACACAAGTTAGCGACTTCTATTTCATCTAAAAGACCCACGTGTAATCAGGACGCTGGCATTGTCTAGAGAATTTAAATTCAATGGCTTCGCCAGAAGACAGCGCTTCCGAAGAAAAAGACATTTGGAACAAAAATGTGTCCAACTGGAAAAGGGGTAATTCTGGATAGAATTTTGAATGTGAATATAATGTAGTAGGGAAATAACGAATGGGAGAGGTTTTTGTGAATAAAGTGGAAGAAAGCAACTCATGTGCATTGTTTACTAAAAGTAAATACAAAAAAAGTTACATTCCTAATAATTGTAATAATACAAGTAAAATAATTGCCTGCTATATACTAACCTTCATTATGTCTATATATCTCAGATATTAATTCGATATTTTCTTATAAGATTCCTTAGCTAAAATTGTGTTAGTTAGTTTCAGTTTATATTAAAATGCAATATTGTTTTTAAGATAAATTATTGTTTTCAGAATAATGAAATAAAATTAAATATAAAAAAATAAAATAATTATTAATACTTATATAAAATAATAACAACATTTGTACACATATAATATATTTTATTTTTTATATAATCACTTTTATTGTTTCATTTTATATTAGTATTTATTTTAAATTTACATTCACGTGGCTCGTAATTACATAACTTAATATTTATTTTAATATCTATAAATTTTTATTAAATTATTATATTATTTTTTATATGTATATTAATTATAGTTCTAGAGAAGAGATAGTATTTCTCATTAAATTAATTTTTTCACATTTAAATTAATATTATATAGTCAATTAATTATGCACTAAAGCTGCTAAATTTTTTATTTCGGTAATTTTTATATGTGAAATTTTTTTAGTATATATTTCAATATTTTGTATTCATTTTTTTTTTAATTTTTACTTCAAACACTTACACAGTTAGTAAATTTATATATTATTTAATTAAAACATTTTTATTATCGTATTATTTTTAAAATCTACTTTTAATGAAACAAAAGTTTTTTAATAAATATAGAAACATCAACAAGTTAGCAAACAATTTTATTAGACATAATTTTTTTATATATATATGCATTTTTAATAACTACTTTTTTGTAATTATTTTTATTATAAAAATTTAACAGATTTTTATGTAAATAAGTTTTTTTTTTGTTAAATTTAAATTAAATAATACTATAGCATAGATTACGATTATTATTAAAAATAATAGGGGTGTGTCAGTCAGTTCATTTTCGTTGCACATTCACACACTATTGCGATAAGATATATTATAGATCTTTACAATTTAATTTTATTAGATAGAAATTTAATATTATAAAAAATTCAAAATAATAATAATAATAATTAAAATTAGCCGAAACAATTTATGTTATATGCTGTATAGATTAACATCGTCAGATGTTTCTTGTATCAGTTTTTATTTCAATCCGTAAACAGGAAAGTATCTAACCGTTAATACAAATAGAGTTAATGTATATTCTAACATTTGCGTTATTAGCAATATCGTTTCTTTGAATTGAAAAAAAAAAAAAAAAGATTTGAATAAACTAATACTGCAGATATCTCAATTTTAAAAATTTGGAATAGCATATATAAATAACATTGTTTAAAGTTTTTATTATCAATCTATAGCAATCTAAATTGATTTCCAACTAACAAAAATTTTTCAACTTAAAAAATATACTCGAATAAAAAATAAAAAATGATATTTAAGTGTTTCAATATATATTTTTAATATATTTCATATTTTTTGTTTATTCTTAACATTACTGCAACTTTAGTTTAAAATTAATTAGTAAGATGTAATTAAAGTAATTAGTTTTATAAAAATATAATTTGCATTGAATTTTTAAAATAATTAAAATATTTGTTCTAAATTAAATAATATTAATTTATAAAAATATTTAAATTAAAATCTTAATAATTAAATAAAAAAATTTTTATATATATAAAATCTAAGTATATATAATACAATCGAATACAATATATTTTTTCAAATTATTATTTTTTTAATTTACAATTTAAAAGTATTTGTTTATATATAAAACTTTTATTAAAAATTAAAATAACAAATATTAACATTTAAATAAAAATAATATAAAACTATTTATATTGCAGCTAAAGATTTTATTAATAGTTGTATTATTTGTATTTTGTGTTTAACATTTGGAAAATTTGTTACGAACGGCAAAAAACACTAAAGCGTAATATTTTATTTATACGTTTCCTATCTGTACTGTATGTAATGGTTTTTATTTATTGTAATTAGATATTTCATTTAGTATTTTTTATTTATTTTTATATTTTATTTTAAGTGGCTAGTATTGCATTATTATTTAAATATGTTTATTTCTTCATAATTAATTTATTTAATTAATTAATTATAATTTATTATGTTTTTTATTTTTTATTGTTTTTTTTTTTAGCACAGAAATAAAAATAAACAAAAATATTTTATTTTATTTTGTTTTGAATTATTTTTTTTTATTTATTTATAAATAACAGAATTTAGTTTATTATAATTTTATTTAACATATTAAACTTTTTTGTTTTAAATAATCACATTAGCTCGATTGTAACATTGCTTTACACAAATTTAAATATAACAAAAAAACAAGAACAAGAATTTAAACGAAAAAAATTTTGCTATAAATTTATTTTAGTTAATAATATAAAGGAAAAAATTGGAAGATTTAACAAAATTTGAAATAATTTTAAATTTTTTTTCTATAATTCAAGTTTGTAAATTTATTAATTTATAAATATATTTATTAATATTTTTTTTTTGATGATTTCACAAAATTTTAATTCATTTTTCTATTTTAATTTAACATAAAATATCTACATATATATATTTATTATAGTTTTTGTTTTTCTGTTTCTTTTTGTTTCTGCTTTTGCTTTAAATTCACATTTATATATTAATTCATATTGAATTTAATTTATTTAAAAAATAGTTTCAGAAGAGAGAAAAAGCTTTTATCTTTTTTTATACTCCATTTATTATCATTTTATCTATTTTTCTGCTTACTTTATTACTTCAATTTAATATTAAAGTTAAATTATTTCAATTACATTTATCTTAGCATTCCATGAAATATATTTTATTATAAAATAATTTATTAAGTGATATTTATTTATAATTTAATATTTTATAAATATACTTTTACTACTACTAATTAGTTACAAAATACAACAGGTCGTTGAACAACATCTACTAGAACCCCCTTTACTTTTCTGTCTTTGATCTGTTGGAGTAAATAAAGAAAGTATTATTAATTATACATAACAGTGTAAAAAATTATTATGATATTACCTTGCGAATTAGGCTCTGGCAAGTTATCACGCGGCACTAAATGCATAACAGTCGTTTTGCCCAATGGAAGTCCCAGTGCACCCAATGTTACGTTACAGTGTAGGAATCTACCCTGATAGATTAGACGTAAAATTTCAGCCTTCGAGACAGCTTCCCGTTCCCAATCTAAAATAAAACACAATAAAGAAATTTATAATAAATATTTGTTTGACCTGTGAATATTGATGTCAGAATGCTTAAGAAATTGTATACAGTAGTCTCGTTTATTTAACTTGCTAAAAAGACGGGATGGATTTCACTTCTTGACTTAAAAAAATGCTACAAATCAGTTATCAATTGAATAATAATACGGACAAAGAATTTAAGAATTACACGGTTTCTTTTAATATTTTTATATTTCTTTGTGTTAAAATGCCAAAAAACTATCAAATAGTGATAGACAATCTAGACATTTTTTACTAGTTGGACAGTTTAAACTTCATTTTATTAATACTATTTTGTTTTATCCCGAAAATATTCATTCGGTTTAATAAACGTTGCCTTAAAATGTCAATCTAAGAGTGATCAGAAATTTTATATTATATGTAAACGTATTTTTAATATTTTTTTCCGCCGGTCGACTTCAAGTAAAAATGAAGCGTAACACAAACTGGAGTAACTGAAAATGATATAATAAACACTATAAGAAGAAGAAGGCACCAGCAAAAATGTGATTGTCTGAGTTGTCTCTTTCTACATTATGTTATTCACTGTAGTTAGTTGTTTTTTATAAGTGAATACAAATTGAATATTATGCATTAAGTTAAATAGTTTTCAAAAAATGATGACAATTATCTGTTACAATAGGAGATTATAGGATTGTATGGATTGTATCATCGAAGGAATCTTAATGACACTGTAAACTGAAATACATTGTGACCGAAAAGTTTCCGGAAATTTTAAATAAAACGCAAAATTCTTAATCTTCATCAATATTTATTTTATCTCCTTCAAAATATGCTCCATTAGAAGCGATACACAAATGCCAACGTTTCTTCCAATCATCAAAACATTTTTTATAGGCGCTTTCCGGTATGGCTTTGAGTTCCCTCTGCGAATTCTGTTTTACGTCTTCTATGGATTCAAAACGCGTTCCTCTGAGTGGTAATTTGAGGTTGGGAAACAGGAAAAAGTCACACGGTGCAAGATCAGGTGAATACGGTGGCTGTTCGATGGTATTTATTGAATGTTTGGCCTTAAAATCGTTGATAATGTTGAACAAATTGAGGTGAATCGGAACAAGCCGGGCGTTGACACGTCGCATACACAAATTGTCCACCAAAATCAAACGAGCCATCTCACGACCGATGCCTAGCTCTCGTGCTATCTCTCTAACACTCACATGAGGATTTTTGAACACGATTTCCTTTGCCTTTTCAATGTTTTCGTCGGTGGTAGAGGTCGAAGGTCGTCCAGAACGCGGCATGTCTTCGACGGTCGTACGACAGTCCTGAAAGGCTTTGTACCACTCATAAACTTGAGTTTTCGATAAAACTGATTCCCCATAAGCCTTTTGTAGCATTCGCAACGATTCTGCACACGAAATTTCGTTCGAAAAACAAAATTTGATGCAAACTCTTTGTTCAATATTTTTTTCCATTGTTTTTTTCGCAACGCACTACTGAGGTGAACTGGTTTCAACAGCTGCCGTAAACGAACTGTCCGACAGATCGCGCTCATTTTTGGCATAGTAATTAAGGACAGTGCTGCCAAACTACATAAACTTAAAATATCGAAAAATATACAGCGCGCGAATTTTAAATGAGAACTTCCGAAAACCTTTCGGTCACAATGTATGTTACCACCTTACGAGGCTGGGCATATACGGATGCAAATTTTAGATTCTGCGAAAAGAATGAAGAGTCAGCCACACATGTGCTGTTAGAATAGACTCTTGGGAATGTATACCCTTACCGAAGAGACAAATAAACTCTGTAAAGTAGGTTCTATACTACTCTTTATCGAAACAATAGGGCTTGGAGATATACTCTAAACCCAGAAAGGGACACAATAGATACGACTACCGCAGTGCCAATTCCCATATCAATAATAATATGTATTGTTTAAATGTCATATGAATTATGTTATAAAATATTTAGCATTAATTTGTAATTCTAAAATAATTTGTGTGATCATTTATTTAACATTTATGACCATCATTTATACTCGTGTGTTTCTAACAATATAATATAAAGTAGTTAGATTGAACCAATTTCTAGTTTTAATATTACCTTAAGAGACTTATAGTGTTGAACTCATACCCACATTTATTAAGATTGAAGTTGGTAGTGTTTCTAATGGGCGTGCTTGATCGACCATAAACTGTTCTTAGTTTTTGGTATGCAATTTTAGATTTCCGTACAACAGGATTTCAGTATTTTTGTAAAAGGAAAAATAAGAAGTAATAATAGTAAAAAGGAAATAAATAGATGAGCATGTCTCGAACGGAATGCCTTTACTTATTCACGCGTTTTTCACCGAACCGAAATGTTGAATTCAACATTCGAACATTTGTTTGAATCTATCGTGGCACAAAGGAAACAAAAAGTCGTATTCCTACTTTTAGTTAGTGCGTCACATGGTCTATTAATTCCATTGTTTATCATGCAATGCACAGTAGAATGGAATTGGTGTATCGGTTTGGGGGACGACACGTCCTTTTGCACGAGCAAACATTAATGCGTTCAGTCGGTAGTGTATGCACGTACTTATATAGAGAAGTAGTTTCATTACGTATAAAAGCACAGACGCAAAATAAACACACACACATATATAGTATAACATCGAAGTAAGTTGGTTGGAGCGAACTGACGTTCGTTGGTGATTTGGTCCTTAGGTTGGTCTGTCTATTTGTTTATAGCAAATAAATCAGGATAAGTGAGCGACAAATGCAGCGCCTTCATTAGTAAACGACAAATGAATATTAAATAGTCCTGCTGCGTTGGTGGTGTTGCTACTTTTCCTGAAATGTCTGTCGGAACACAGAGTCAGTCAAATAGGAACGTTATACGTTATTTCGTAATAGAACAAAGTCAAAGAGAAATAATATTGGTCAAGCTGAAACATGGTCGAGGACGAAAACAGGAACGTAGTAGCCTGTAGTCTTGCATGCAAAAGGAAATGGAAAATTTTGTACTATTAACGGTTCGAATGAGAGTGGGTGTGTCGGTATGTAAGCAATTTAATATAAAATGTTATTTTGATTTTAAACCACATAAACAACCGAAAACAAGCTGAAATTATGTTGATGTGTCGATTTGTTTGTACATCAATAGAATAATAATTTAGTTAGTGAATTTTGTCTGTTTGATAAATTACAAATATTTAAGACTTTTGTGAAATAAATAATTGCAATGCGATGATGCCCCATGGTTTGAAATGTATAATTTGTATTTAATTTACTTTTTGAAGTATTTATAATGCTTTGAATTTTAAATAGCTAAATTTTATAGGCAAAAATAAGTTTCGTTTTTTTTTTTTCGTATAACATAATGGGAGGTATTAAATATCAAAAGTTTATGTTGTTGAAATATTAACAAAGATTTTTTATGAATTCTATTAATGAGTTTTAAGTTATATACATTAAATTTAAATCTGCTTTGCATATTTTCATGTAATTTCCTCAAAATGTTTTATTGGTTACTTATGTTTATATATCATCATTTATATTTCTACGACTCAAATTGTTTAAATGTAAGATTATTTTACATAGAAAAGCCAGTATTTTAAATTCACCTCATGACACTATCTACAGCACTGAGTTTTCAAAAGCCTTTCTCAAATAAAAAAAAAACTATTTTATAATACTTTTTCTGGCAAAAGTTTTTTTTTTGATAAAAAAAGTAAAACTCACTTTTAAACATCGGTAATATATTTATAAAAAAATAAATAATTTATAATATAAATCAAAAATTTTAATTTAGAAAAAGTTTTTTCTTTAATATTAAAAAGCCTTTTGAAAAAATTAGTATCAATAAAAATTGAAATAAAAAGAACCCAATAACATTATTTATTATATTTCAGATTCTAACTTTGATTCAGATTCTAAAAATATTTATATTGAAAATATTTTAAAATTTATTTTTATGGTTTGGTCATGTTACCTGACACTTTGACTATTAAAATGTACAGAATACATGCATATATTTCAGTTAAGTTGCACCTTGACTATAAATGTAAGGGAAATGATGGAGTTTATTTATTCATTTAATTATATTTAATTGAGTTATGATAAATTAAGTTGAAAGATAAAGAGAGAAAGTTATTCAAAGATAAATTATACGCTACAAATAGGGTCAGAGTATATCTAGATAAACATAAATTCAAAATCAATCTTACATATAAATGCATAAACTAAAAATGATTGGGAAAGAGTAATTGGAAAAGACATACATTATTCGCATATTCCAACTTCCATAGTTCGATAAATTGTGGACATTGGATATCATTTAGTAAAACAATAAACAGTAGACATAATAGAATACAACTCTAACAATAGATAATGATAAAACCATACGCATAAACTAAAAGTTGTTGGAAAAGAGTATGCGCTCGGTATTACTTTTTTCTTTATTAATTTGTAGACCTTTCTCTAAGAAGTTTTAAGTTTCGCTTGGAAATGATACTTTGTTCAAAAATGAACAAGAATTTTTTGTAACTTAGAATTTTAAATAGATGTTTCATATATTTTCTGAAACAATTCTAGACTAAATTAATACAATTTTCTGAACCCATTAGGTATTATTTGAGTATGTAAGTATTACTTATAAATTGATTACATCAACAAACATACACTCATAATATTATCATATTATATACTAAATACTTTTCATATATCTATAGTTACAATATTCTTGACTTTTAAGATAACCAAAATTGTTGATATAAAAATATGATTTATAATATCGGTACAGTAAATATCTTTGTTTAGAGTAGTTTGTAGTATTTATATATATAAGCTTCATTCTTCAAAGTCATCGTCAATATTCATGTAAATCAGAATTAAATTTTATTTATATGCAAAGTCTTACTTGTACTCGTATATTTCTTCAAATTGTACTAAATCATTTCTACAATTACACGTAAAGAGGAGTACATACATATATATTAATAAAAGTAAATATTTG